CTTGCTCCAACGATGCATTGACAATCAATACAAACCAGTCAACCAACCCCTCCCTGGCTGATTTAATGAGCCAAGATGGGCATGGGTCTAGAGGTGAGGTGGTCGCCCTCACAGCCCCAAGAACCTCCTCTACGGTTTCAGGGAGAACAAGCCTAAAAGAATCCCACAAAATTGGACAAGCAGATGCCTCCGTCACCTCTTCAGGCACTGCGATGGAATTGGAGTCGAGCTCAAGGCGTATCTGAGCGACTTTACCTGCAAAATGGTGTGCGAAATCGCGACACCGAGCTGCTGGGTCATCAGTGAGCTCCTCCACCACAGGTGGGTGGAGGAGTTCCCCCACGACCCGAAACAGCTCCGACGATCTATTTGCTGCAGACGCTATACGAGTGGTCGTGAATGATTTCCTGGCCACCCGTATAGCCACGGAGTATGCCTTAAGAGAGGCTTTAGCCCGTGCTCGATCAGACACGACCCGAGATTTCCTCCATTTGCGCTCTAGCCCCCTTCTCGCATGCTTCATCACAGTCAGCTCCCCGGTGAACCAGGGAGATGGCCTGTCACGACGCAACGAGATGGGGCGTTCGGGTGCGATCACATCTAACGCCCTGGACATCTCCCCATTATAGAGAGTCACCAAGGCGTCGATGGAATCGCCAGGCTCCAAGGCAGGAAGAACCCCAAGATTCCTCAGGAATCCATCCGGATCCATCAGTCTCCTAGGGCGGACCATTTTAATCTGTCCTCCACCCCTGCGGAGGTTAAGAGTCGCAGCAAGTCTAAAACTGATCAGATAATGATCAGACCATGACACCGGAAGGATGTTTTGATCTTCCACTCTAATCATTTCGTTGTCCGCCACGAAAACAAGGTCAAGAGTATGTCCAGCTTGATGAGTGGGACCAGATATTATTTGTGACAGTCCTATGGTCGTCATGGTGGCCATAAAATCCTGAGCTGCACCAGATAGGGTGGTCTCGGCGTGGATGTTAAAGTCTCCCAGCACCACCAGGCGCTGGGAGACCAAGGCCGAATTAGAGACCACCTCCGCTAGCTCAGACAGGGAAACTACTGGGTCGCGGGGTGGGCGGTACACCAGCAGGAACCCCACACTGTCACGGCACCCCACTTTCAAGTGGACGCACTCAAACCCAGAAGCCTGCGGGACAGCGCATCTGATCACGGCGATGGATTGCCGAAAGACTACTGTGACCCCTCCTCCCCGCCCCCCTTGTCTGGCCTGCTGATGCACTCCGAAACCTGGTGGACACAACTGAGTGAGATTTACTCCCCCCAGCTCGTCCAGCCAGGTCTCGGTGATGCATGCCAGATCCGCCCTCTCATCCAGGATCAAGTCCTGGATGGCCGCGGTCTTACCATTAACGGATCTGGCATTAATCAGCAGGACCTTAAGACCAAGGGGGCTGCCATGGAGCCTACCACTACCTACCTTCTCCAGGGTCGCAAGAACTCTGTTGCGCTTCTCCCTGGGATATCGGTGACCTGCTATTCTCCTCCCCCACACGACTTGAATGGCACCCCCTTCCTCCGGAACCCTCCCCCCCCTCCATGGCCGAGATCTGTAACTAGTCAGCTCTCAGAGGACGAGGTCGGGCTGGGAAATAATCTCCCTTGGGCGTTAGGTAGAGATGTTTCTGATGATGAGGTAGATAATGAAACATCAAGGGAGCTGAGTGGACTGAATAAGGGAAGTGTTCTCGAGCGAAGGAGTGTAGCTGGTTGAGTGGGGGCGACCGGGACAGATGGAGTCTCAAAATTATACGAACCAGGAGGGGGGGCCCTAATCGGTGAGCTGGTTGTGGATGTACGGGGACCTGATGGAGTATGGCGAGAAGGAACCCCGGAGGCAAATAAGGGGCGTATCTGAGGGTCCACAACTACCCTCCTAATGGTAATGCCCCATTTCTTTAAGACAGAGCTTTGCCATAAGCTCTCCGAGCCATGAGTTGTCTTCTGGTGTTATTTGAAGACGGGAGGAACGGTCAGATGATTGGTAGTCCCTCCATAACCACACTATGGCTTCTAGTCTTATTTCCTGTGGTCTTTTACCCAGGATTTGGGCCAAGGAGTTACAAACTGCCCTCTTAGAGGTCCATCTGCCTCTGTTTACCATTTGGTCAGCAATGTCCACCGCAAACATGTCAGTTTGTAGATGTTGATCCTGAGTGCAGGCTGCGGTTGGCTGAACCAAAAGGTCTGTTGTTGTATTGTTGATCGTCCTCTGAGCGGCCATCACAGACCGCTGCCACTCCACGATGTTCTCAGTCCTATGACTGCCCAAAGATTCTCCCCTTCCCTCAGCCAACTCATCATTCATTCCTCGTTCAGCCCCAAGAACCCCAAGAACCGACGTGCCTTTCTCCCCATTTTGGCACAAGTCCTTAGCTAGATCTGCACACGAAGAGTTCCCAGTCTTTAGGGGAAAGGATTGCACAGGAATTCCTGAGAAAGAGGCAAAACCTCTAAGGAGGTGGTCCATTTTCTCGTTTAAAAACCTGAGTTGTAATAACACATGGTTAAACGATTCCCTCAGGAGGTCGTAAAAGTGCAAAAGATCATTCTTCGCATGAGGTTCTGCTTCACCCATTCCTATGTCTAGAAGTAACTCTCACCACGCTCAAAACCACTTCACTCACATTTACTTCCAACACAATCAGCCCCTCCCAGGCACTCCAAGAATCCGCACACTCCTCTCCCTCCCACAATTCACTCTAACAGCCACACTAAACAACACTCTCACACGCTAAACTAATCACGCCCAGTAATCATGCACACTTCCTATGACACACTCTCCTCCCTCTCCCACAATTCACTCGAGCCAATTAAACTAAGCCAACACACTCTCTCTCTAGACTAAACACACCAGCAATCATCCACACCTTCCTATGAGTCACTTTATCACAACACTTAGTCTAAACACACCCAGCTACCATCCACACCTTCCTATGTAGTCACTTCTATATCACAGACAGTCTCATGCGTCCTCCTGGGCCTCTTCCCTAACCCACCCCGGCAATCCTATCCTCTACTATCAGACCTAAAATCTCTATGACCTCCTTACCTACACTCAGCAATTAAGACAAACAACATATAACATACAGCCAACTATCCTCTATCTAAGAACTAAAAATAACAACTAGCCAAAAAGGTAAAGTAGGAAAAATAGAGAAAAATAAAATAGACAAACAACAAAAAAGAGTCAGATGGCGATAACAGTTCCTTCCCGGTGCAAAACACTTGAGCACTTGAGCAGCAGCTTCCTGGAGCTCTTCGGCCCCTTCTAAAACAGGAGAGGTTGACGAAGGACGCAGCTGGCTGGTCCAAACTTCACCCCTCCCGGATGATAAGGGAGGGGGCGATGGCAGCGTGTCTGGTGTCCTCTCTGCGACCCCTTCCCAGATGGAACAGCTCTCTTCACCCCCTCCCGGATGGCAAGGGCGGGGGCAGGCAGCGCGGCCTAGCGCTCCTCCGCGGCCCCTTCCAGATGGGCGGCGGGGCCAAGCAGGCTGCGGCTGTGCCGGCTCTTCTTCACCCCCTCCCGGATGGCAAGGGAGGGGGGAGATGGCAGCGCAGCCTAGCGCTCCTCCGCGGCCCCTACCAGATGGACGGAGGGGCCAAAGCAGGCTGCGGCTGAGCCGGCTCTTCTTTCCCCTCCCGGATGGCAAGGGAGGGGGAGATGGCAGCAAGGGAGATGGCAGCGCGGCCTAGCGCTCCTCCGCGGCCCCTTCCAGATGGGCGGAGGGGCCAAAACAGGCTGCGGCTGTGCCGGCTCTTCTTCACCCCCTCCCGGATGGCAAGGGAGGGGGGAGATGGCAGCAAGGGAGATGGCAGCGCGGCCTAGCACTCTCTCAGAGAGGAAGGGGGCCCGATGGAGAGACCCAGCTGGCACAGTGGCCTACCCGCTAATCCGACGCCACCGGCAGCTCATCTTCGCTCACAATGAAGGTAAGTTCTCAGCTCGATAGTTGATCTTTCCCAAAATTGACCGGTTTGTTCGGTGCCCTGATAAATCAGGGAGATTTCTTGATGAAAAATGCAGCAGGATAAAGGCTAAAAGCCAAGGATTCCAGCAGATTATGATTTAGCCCCGCTGATGTTAACAGGGTCGCTGTTGCTTTGTCGCCATCTTGGGAGTTTCTCAAATCACTCCTAACACAACCAAAAATGAAATTTTGTAGTCTTCTCCAAGCTAAACTTAGTTCTCTAGTCATTCTTCAAAGCTTTTGATAATATCATCATAGTGCATCCAGCTATAGGAACATAACTGGTTATCTCTCAGCCATCTGCCCATTTCCACCAGCCAGTACATATCTGGTTGGCCATGGTAGAAAGAGAATGCTAGATTAGATGGGACAGGAACAACAAGCTATAGCCCTCCAAATGTTTTATGGACTGCATGTCCCATTGTTTTTGACCAGCATAGGGTTGGTGAGAATTAAAATGTGAACATTTGGAGGGCCACACATCTTGCATCCCTGAAACAGACCCTTGGTCTCATCCAGCAAGGTTTATATGGTATGTTACAATTATGAAAAATATAGCTGTGTAAACAAGGGTTATTCTGTCCCCCAGTACTGCAAATGAACTGAAAAACAAATGGAGTTAGTCACTTCAAAACCTCATTACTGAGACTTTTGATATGATGTAGGGATAGCCCCAACCACCAAAGATGACTCACTGAGCCATACGTACGCACATGCACACATGTCTTTGTTTTATTTCACTTGAAGAAGTGCTGACATCTCTGGTTATGGATGTTTAGGAGCCTCCTGTTCAAATCACCTTGCTGGGATATTAAACTAAAGGAGTTTGTGCACCTTGACACAGTTTGATGGTCATATTTAAAGGCGTAACTTGAGATTCTTTCTAGCACTTTCAGCAGAAGGCTATTTGAAGAGGCTTGCCTTCATCTGAGCTTCAGACATACTCTCGGACTGAGTTTCAGTCTCAAGCAGCTCTTCTGAGTTCTGTAACTTTGACACTTTACTCTCCAATCCCATCACCTTTGCAGATCAGGAAGTGAGATGCAGTGTGGTCTGGGGCTTTTTTTGCTGTTGGCCTTCTGAGCCCTAATGATACTTAGCGGCAGCTCATCTCATTCTGAGACAAATGAGCTGCCACTTCCTGTGTTAAGGTAAGTACTATGAAGAACATGAGAGTTTAGGCACTCACTTTTGACTCAAAACTCCAATGTTGTCAGCTGCCTATTATACAAAGCCTAGCTTTCTGCAGCCACAGGCAGGATTTGAACTCAGTAACCTACTCACGACGTTGCCCAAATGGCCAGTGTCAACGGAGCAACATTGCCATGACTTGCAACACTAGAAGACGAAGAAGATCATGATGCAATCAGGTAACATTTGAATCCATTTAAGTTGTTTTCCATGTAAGGCTGGCTCAAGAGAAAATGTTTTGAAATGAATATTCAGTCTGAGTGGGTGGTCAAAGAACTTTGTGTATTTATTCCGGCTCAGTATGAAAGATGTCCTGGTTTTGATCTTCTAACCATCAAAGCTCTTATCCAGGCCATGTTCTGTTAACCACAAAACCATAATTTGTGGTTCTGTTAACCACAAAACCCATAAAAAGCTGTAATCAAGACTGGGAAATACTACACACAATTATTAGAACACAGTGAGTCAGGTCAGATTCCAGACATAGTCTGGAAATATTTTGCATAGGGAATATGGTGTAGCACTTCATAGTACTTCCTGAGTTTTTTTATCATAATCATTGAAATTAATCTTACACCAAAGAATGTGTGTACAGTCAGATTTGATTTATGGCAATGCTTAAAATATAAGACTTCCAAATCCTGTTATTTTGCTCAAGTCCTGCATAGTTAGGACTGCCTTGATTGGATCCATCCACCTATGGTGAAGTTTTTTCTCTAACTGTTTCCCATTCTACCACTTTTCAGCTGAGTCATGTTGACTCATGGTAAGCCTGAAGTATGTTACTTTAACTTGGTCATTTTGGCATTCTATGAAGAATTCAGTTATCTTGCTATGATCCCATTCATTTGATACATGGTATCCAGAACCACATTTCAAATTACCGTATATACTTGAGTATAAGCCAACCTGAATATAAGCCAAGAGACCTAATTTTACCACAAAAAACTGGAAAAACGTATTGACTCGAYTATAAGCCGAGGGTGAGAAATGTAGCTGCTACTGGTAATCGTAAGGAGGTTAAATGTTTTTGAGTATTTACACAAAACTGTAATTTAAGATAAGACTGCCCAACTCTGATTCAACCATTATTCTAACCTCCTTCAATGTAAATGTGCTTACCTATTACCTATAATGATAGAATAAAATAATAAATATAGTAACATGTAATAAAAATAATAATAGAGTAAATAATGGAAATTTAATAATAATAATAATAATAATAATAATAAAGTAATAAATGTAATAATAACAATAATAGAGTAAAATAATAAATGCAATAAATATAGTAATACAGTAAAATAATGTAAACGTAATAATAATAGAGTAAAACAATAAATGCAATAAAGGTAATAATAGAGTAAAATAATGTAAATATTATAATAATAATAATAATAATAATAATAATAGAGTAAAATAATAAATGTAATAAAATAATACTAATAGCAGAGTAAAATAATAAATAACCTTGACTCAAGTATAAGCCGAGGGGATTTTTTTTCAGCCCAAAAAGGGGGCTGAAAAACTAGGCTTATGCTTGAGTATATACAGTGGTTTATTTTTTTTTCTATCAACTTTCATGAATGTTCAGCTTTCAAAGTCATAGAAACAAAAAAACATGAAGGTACAGAAGATTCTAGCTTTGATATCTGTCTTTACAAGTGAGGATTCTATCTCGTTCCTTCATAGCTGTTCTTCCAAGTTCTAGTCTTCTCTGCCAAAGAGTACTGGCACCTCACCAGACTATATATTCCAGTATTCCATAGCATTAAGCCGTGGCAGTTGAAGTGGTATCAAATTGCATTAATTCTACAGCTTAGATGCACCTTCAGAAAACCAACAGGAGTAAGCAAAGAACAAAGATGGAAAGTGGAAGGAGGAGAGATAAACTGGAACATTTAAAACACCTGAAAAATGGGACAGAGGATTAATGAGGACTGTCCCTGCCAGACTGCAATGGTTTGAGGGTATGATGGCACATTTGAAGAAATAAACTGCTACACGATAAAATCAGTCTGTGTCTGTGAGATTGATACCTGTGTCCCAAAATCCATATGATACAATGAGACCTATCTGCTTTTCTGCTAATCCTAGAGACCCAATTACCCTGACACAAGGCTGTATCAAAGATCCTATAAGTTCTTATCCCTGATGGTCCTCAAGAAGCAGAGCCAAATAAGGTATTTCGTGTCTGAGTGATGCTCTGCTGCATAAGTATTTCTCAGTGCTACACTGACGCATTCATTCCAAGACTGCTTTAACTGTGAAATGCTCTACTGAAAGTGTAAATGTCATCAGAACTGCTGATGAGTATATAGTTAGTTACTAAGAAATGTACCCAGGAAATTAGATAAAATATGTGCACATAGTCTGTTAAGGACCACCTCTTGAGCTGTTCATGGCAGAAGAAAATCATCCACGATTTTTTAGAGTCATTCATATAAAGTGTCTGGTAGCTGGGTCATAGGTGAAGTTTTGTCTCATGCTACATCTAATCAAACTGTCTAATTGAATGATCTTCCTTCAGGACTGGGAACAGGAGTATACCATCTGTCATAAAGTATGACCTCCATGTCTGCCAGGAATACATCACCAGATTTTGCATGGATACACAAAATTGCATAATAGTGAACCTTATTCATATGAAGGACTTCTGGCCCAAGACTATACAGAGGGCAAATTTTGTTGGACATGGATAAATGAAGTCACAGATATTAGTCCCGTGTATTTGTACATTACTTGAAAATGCCAGCTAACCTAGGGCCTGCAGGATTGTCATCTTGGCCCACATAGCTTAGCCTCCACAATATCCACTCACTGTTTTACTGTACTGTTTTAAAATAAAGAATTCTCCAAAGTGTCCTGAATTTTTCCCTCCTTGATGAGCACCTGGAATGAGCAGACACACATTTACCAATTCACTGAGAAAGTGAATTGGTGAATTAGCAGTCTAGAGACAAGAAGCCAAGACTGGTGGTCACTACAAAAACCAAGTTAGGCACAGAGACAAGCAAAAGAACAGTCTGGACCCAGTTCTAAGGTGTCCAAAAATAGGGCAGTCTCTGAGCTGGTTTCAGTGTTTGTTCCACAGAGTGCATCTCTACCTGCTACTTAGTCTTTGCAATTTTTACAGGAAACTAATTTCCTTGGTCCCTCTTTTGGTGATGTATAAGCTGGTGCCACACACATAATCACTACCAGAATGGCAACTCAAGAGATTGCTTTGAAGTCCTTGGCGGGTATCCAGATGGGCTGCTGTAGTCTTTACATAATCAACTGAAATGGCTGCTTTATTCTGCATTATCTAAAGATGCTCCCCACTGAAAATACATTTGCTTTTCGTTTGAATTCTATTTTGATTCCTTCTTTTTTTTCCTTCTTGATATGTCACACTGTAGTCATCAAGACCAGTGCTTCAAGATTGCTCTACCTTCTGTCATTTTTGCTGGCCTCAGTAATTGACCAGGGTAAGTTCCCCCATGAGCATCCCCACCCCTGTACAGACATTATGGATGTGGGAAGAGGAACTCAGTTGAGTGCGAATTAAATGAGAATTAAAATTACTGTTTTGCAATTCTTATACAGGGGTACCCAGGCTTACTCAGAAAGCTATGACAAGTTCCTCCTCAGGAGAAACACTACCAGTCTTCCAATGTAGTGTATAGATACATGAGAATCTGTTTAGCAATTCTTGCACAGGGGAACCCAAACTTACTCAGAAAGCTATGAAGAGTTCCTAATCAGGAGAACCACGACCAGTCTTCCAGTGCAGTGTATAGATACATGAGAATATCGGGGACACAAAAGCAGCAATAACATTGCTCAAAAAGCATTGGCAATACCCCTGGTTTTCACTGGATTTATCTCTATTGCTGCAACTCATTCACTTACATTTGAACTAAACTTAGATGAAATTTGAGAAAAACTACAAATTGAGAATACCTTGAGATCTTTCTCATCATTCCAAAGATCATTATTTTAAATATATATGTGTGTGTGTGTGTGTGTGTGTGTTCTCAGAGAACAGTAGAGATCGGAGTTGCCAGGACAGAAGGTTCCTAGCTCAGCAATTTCAGGACTAAAGCATGAGGTGATATCACAGGGAGAAGGGTCAAGTAATGTCATTAACCATAATACTAAAGCATCAATCATGGCTGCACATCGAGTATAACAAATGAAGAAAATATATGAAAATATATACTTTTTAAGGCAGCACCCTCATTCTGAACTTCATCCTCTTCGCCCTGAGTAGAGTGGCCAAACAACCTCAGGGCCAAGGCTGGGGGGTCTCAGAACCTTAATAGTATGTAGAGTATAGAGGCCAAGAGACTCAAAGGATTGGCAGCAGGATAAAGTGTGGACTTTAATATGGGTTTAATGATGTCAATTCTATGAGGTTGACTGTCCTGCTAACTGGCATATGCCCAGTGCCCTCCATTGTGCAATGTACTGTAGCAGGAAACTTAGCAGATGATATGAACAACAGCTGCTTGAAAACTACTGCTCACTCAGTCATTATATAATGTGGGCAACATGCAGGCTCTGGGTCTGATTCCAGTCTTCTGGCTGTTTCTCCTCCTTGAGAGCCAAATCTTTGAGAAGCATCATAAAAGGCAAATGTTCAGTTTGTTCTACATTTGCCTCATGTCCCTGATGTGGTTCTCTTGGAATGGGTTTTTGGTTCACACCATTATTCTATTCTAACCACAGCTATATTTATGAACATGGAAAACCATCACGGGTGTTGGGTTTTTGGTTTGCTTCCCTGCAATTGATGTGGATGCTTTCCCATGCTGCATGAATTTCATTAAACTGCTAGGTTAAAAAGCCTAGCAGTTTTTATTGTAAACCAAACTCCATGAGACAGAGCTTGGAAAAGTTACTTGCCACTCATTTAAGTAACACATTATATATAATGCCATTATTGGTCAACAAGTTACATCCGACATCTGACCACATTCACTCTCCTAAATGATAATGTTCTTAACATGCCAGGGTTCCATCCTATGGAATCACAGAATTTTAGTTTAGTGAGGGACATTTAGAATTCCCTGCAAAAGTGCTTTAGCACCTCACCAAACTATAAAGCCTAGGATACTACAGGAGGGAACCATGGCAATTAAAAACTCACTTTAATTCTGGAGTGTGAAGAGGCCCTGCTTTGACTTACCAGGACCCCATCTTGACTGGATAGTCCCAGGAGTTGTCCTGCTAAAAAACATTACTTTGGTGAGCTCTAATGATCACAGAGCTGAGTCGCACAATACAGATGTATTCAGATCAACCTCCAAAATATATGTTACATAAACATGTGTATTCTTTACAGGTGCAGTCAATTTGGATGACAGTTGCCACATTCCTTCAACCAGTGTGGTCAGTGTATGCATCTAAGGAATTCTGGGATTAGTTTTACAAAAAGTTACTTTGATCATGGCAGTAAGATTGTTGTATGCACAAACATGCGATTTGGTATTGCCTAGGGAGGCAATGGATTTAGCAGAAATGTACCAATTATCTTATATGACTATAGGAAAATCACTGGGGTCATTTTTCTAAAAGATTAGAAACCCATTATGGACTCTGGATTTCTGCAGTTTTTAATGCATTTGGAGAAAATATGCAAAAGTAACTTTACCACGCTCTGACTGTCATATAATTTGTGGGCCAGCCTCATCCACTACAGTGAATTCTGGTTTCTCTTGTATAAAAGCCTTACATTGCTCGCTCGGAATAACTACTTGCCCAAGCATTTTTATGTTGCTCTCAATACATTTTATGGTAGATTTGCTTTGCCTCTCCTTCAACAGGCTCCTCAAGTCTACTTTGCTTATACAACTCAGTGGAGGATCTGGCATGCAATTGGACTCCTCTGAAAAATGTCACAGATGCGCCATGCAATATCACCGCTTTTGTCAACTATAGGTGAGTAAATTTGTAAAATGCATTTAGAATGGCAAAGAAGATGGGCTGTTTTGCCTTGAGAGTTACATTAACCATCTATCAAAGATTCAGAGAGCATGCTCTTTTCTCCAGCAGAACTTTCACTGTCAAGAAGATTTATGGAATGGTTGCCTCTGATAGTTTGTGGTATCCCAAGTCATTCCACCCTGTTCAGCCTGGAAAGAGCAGATTAGGAAATTGCCTCATGTTGTTATCATTCATTGTCAACATTTAGTTACATCCTTTAGTGACATCATGAACCTAAATGTATGTGTTCTTTCATCCTAAAGAAGAATTTGTCTAGCATTGGGCAGGGTTTGAGGTGGTTACTTTTGTCAACTAAACTCCCAAAATCATTCTGAATGGTATGGTCAGTTGTTATATTAACTGGGTGTTCTGGGAACTGTAATGCAAACACAAGCAAACACAAACAAAGCTCTGCCTTTGGACAGTTGTATAATAAATAATTCCTAATAATAATAATAATAATAATAATAATAATAATAATAATAATAACAGCAACAACAACAACATGAACTGGCAGATTATGTGAAAGGCAGTCAAGAATCAACATTGAGGAGTCAATAGTAGTCCCCCCAAGGGTGGGAAAAGTGGTATATAAATGCTGTAAATAAATAAATAGTAAACTGCTTCAAGTGCAAAAGACAAACAGGGAATACCATAAAAAACAACGCAGAGCAGAAGAGAAAACTGACAAACAAAAGCTCTCCATGGACAGTTCCAAGGCAAAACTGAGAGAAAATAGACAAAGTGGATGTGGCTCACAAATGGAATTTTGAAAAAGGTGCTGAGGGGCTGATTCTGGCAGCCCAAGAACAAGCCATTAGAACAAATGCCATCAAAGCCAGATTTGAAAAGTTGACAACAGATCGCAAATGTGGACTCTCCAATGAAGCAGATGAAACAATAGACCTTGGCCTGCACTTAAACACAATCAGTGCTGACAAAATTGCCATCGGCCAGTTGCAAAAGGCCACTCTACTCTGATGTGCACTGCACACATTATTCACCGATACATCACACAGTCCTAGACACTTGGAAAGTGTCTGACATGTGATCTAATACAACAGCCAGCATAGTGATCTTGTTTGCTGTGTACTAATCTTGTTGTGTTTCAAATAATAACTTTATTTTTGTATTCTGCCACCATCTCCTCGAAAAGACTCAAAGCGGCTTAAATGGGGACCAAGACCAAGTAGACAGAGTTCAAATTAAGCACAATAAAATACATATATACACATCATAAAAACATACTTAAAAACATAATTCATCATACAACAACCAGTAGCCAAGCATAATGGATATTTCCAAGCTATGGAACAAGGAAAATGGCAACGTGCAATGGTAATGTATGAGAGACAGAGGATAAGTTAAGGCTGGAAGGGCCAGTCAGATTAGAACAGTACAACTCCAGAGCAGTGAACTAATCTGATGTTCAGTGTTGGATATTAGAGGGATATCAGTTTTTTTCTGAATTGCAGCCTTAGATTTGAGTTCTGGTGTCCTTCTATAGTTCAGGGGAATGGACTAGAGTTTTCTAGTTAGCAATTTTAAGTGCTTCCTAAAGCTACACATCAGAGGATTTTACTGTGCTTCAGCTGCTGTGGAAGCATGCTAGTTGAAGTACTATGAGGTTGCTTTAATTGTGCAGAGTGGATACCCCTGATGACAGCATGCTGTGGCTAGCTAGGCATGAATGAGCCATCATGGCTACAAAATCACAAATCAGATGTTCATATCACCTCAAACATGATTCTATTCAATATAGTTGATCCATCGTAATGCCCATCCTGCTTTCTCTCTATTCATTGGATGGAGAGAGCAACAGCCCAAACTTTTGAAGGTCTGGACAGGGGCAGAGAATAATATGCACCCCAATATTACTCTGCTGAAAGCATCACAGGCAATATCAAATTACTGTTTATCGCAATAGGTGTGTGATCCATTTGTCCACACAAGTTATCATTTGACAATACTGATGCAGTCATAAGAGATTTTAAGCATGCATGTCTTAAAAGGGCATGAATTAGTGACAGGTAAAATTCAGGACCTTACTCCATTAAAATGTACTGTCTAAAGATAAGTGAAGATAATATCTGTGCTGTTACATCAACATTGATCTATGCAAGTTCTCTTTTTATTTCTTTATATTACAAGCATTACCTGAGCTTGCAGGTATAAAATCTATAGATTTTGAGAAAATCAAATGGTGTGCATGCAAATGTGGGCTAGTTCCTTATCTGGCCCAGTAAATTTCCCATCTGTCATGAAGTTTCCCTGTTCAAGACAGCCCCTTGGAGGAATCAGTATAGAATGGGATGGTAAAAATATTTTCAAAAAATATTTGGAGGGAAAATACACTTATTATTTGCTGAGAATTTCTAACAAGAGGAATTCTGGACTGATGAGAATCTTTGTAATTTGAGTCTTATTCTGTGCAAAATTTACAAGTCATTGTTTTGCACAGAAAGCAGCATTTCTACAAGAAAATATTATTTTATGTACAGAAAAATCACTTTTTGCTATGCAAAAAAAGTCTGCAAATTTTGTGCAGAAATCTAATACTGAGACTAGCTGTCAAAATTCAGTTTTCAAATACTCTTACATTCTCACAGGAAGAAAAGAAATGCTAAAATTACTCATTGCATTCTTCAGGAAAGAATTACACTCCTAGAATCAAGTTTCAAAATGAAAATGGTTTACACCAATATAAAACAGCAAGGTTAATTTGACTGCATTTTGCTAGAACTCTTTAGGGCAATATTGCTATGCATAACATTCATCTTAAAATGTAAAGCAAGCATGTATACAATGCAAGCTTACAAACTCATATAGCATTCAAATTAACCTATTAGGGATCTAAGTTTGGTTGTGGCTCTCTCCTAAGCACACCATCAGTAACAAACCTAGCTCTGTAATTTTTTATTGCATGAGTTTTTTATGGCTAACGAGAAATGTGACTTTCAGGAAACCTTGAAAATTATTATTATTATCATTATGGTGTTTTTTCTCTCTTAAAGAGACTCAACTAAAAAAGAAACATTGCAACTGCATGGGGCAGGGACAAAGAGCAATCGTCTAATCCTCAAAGTGAGTAATCTAATTAAAAATATGGGTCCATGATGACAATAGTCTTGTTCATTTCAGAACTTATTGTATATATTTTGTTAGGGCAAAATCACATTTTGTGTCACATTTTTATTTATTTTATTTATATTTATTTATTTCATATATAAATCAATAATAAATAAATAAGATGTACTGTATTCTAGGAAAAAGATTCAAAAGTGAACAAAATATATTTCAATTTAGAGAATCATTTTTCTCTTCCTGACAGTTCTAAATTCTGCAGAATATTATGAAAGATCAGAGGGATGCAATGTTAATTCTCATCTACATTGGTCTTTCTGAGTCTTTTAATTTCTTTTTGTTTTGTTGAATACCCTCAATTCACCTTTTGGTTCCCGTTTTTGTTAATTTATCTGTTTAATGTGTATTTGATACTGTTTGTTTGTATTTTGGTGAGACCTGCCGGGGTTACTTGAGAAAGGCATTGTTTGTTTTGTGAAATTTGGTATTATCTTTGAACTACAACTCCCAGGCGGGTGGGTCATTCCTCCTCAAATCCCTCCAGTATGTTATGTTGACCTTGGTTATTTGAAAAATGCATTGTTTGTTTTGGGGTGTTATGTAATATCAGTTTGTTAATTTGTAGCTCTATTTCTTAGAAAAAAAGCCAGTATTTCCTGTTGTTTTTTTATGAATGCTCCTATTAGAAAATGCATAAGGATGTGGGTGTAATTCCCAAAATCATGGACCAATCACCCCAAACCCCACCAGTATTCAAAGTTGGCCCTGTTTGGTCTGTGTGCCAGGTTTGGTCCAAATCCATAAGTCGGCTGGGTTCAGTGCTCTTTGGATAATGGTGAACTACAACTCCCAGAGCCAAGGACAATCACCCCCAAACCAGACTTGTGTGAACAGTTGGCCACTTGGAACTATAGCCTGTTTGCAGAGGTGGGAGGCTGTCTGTGTAAATGGACACCTCTGCCACATACACACATTTTCACTTTTATTATGTGTACAGATAGATATGGATATCTCTTTGCCCAAGGGGAGAGGCGTTAATGGTAAAATTGCACAATTGCATTAAATATTTAAAAAGTAATGAAATGTAGAAGTGCAGGAAAGTGGGGTTAGAACTTAACTGTTGCAGAATAGTGGGTTCGTGTGAGAAAGTTCTTAGGCTGCAATGGAAAGATTAATATTTAGGATAATGTCTCCCTTTGATTTCTTACCAAGTGAGTGATTATCAAGTGAAATAACAGTTTGCCTGTCTCATGTGCAAAAGTCCAAAATATGGAGTAAGCCACTGATTTCAATTTCAGGGAGAGAATAATTTGTGCTATAACTATCAGACGTTTATGAAACACCAGCTGTCATGTTCTAACTTGGGCCCCTTCCACATAGCTGAATAAAATCCCACATTATCTGCTTTGAACTGGAATATAAGGCAGTGCGGACTCATCTACAAGTTCAAAGGAGATTTTCTGCCTTGATGTTCTGGATTACATGGCTGTGGAAGGGCCCTCATATGCTATTTTTTTCTGATTATTCTTTTTAGCAGCATTCATGAAACTATAATTCATCCATGCTTTTAATTAATAATATGATTCTTCTCTTCAGGGTTTCAACTTGACCCCTGCAGATTATATTGTCTTGGATGTATCCTGCCTTAATGGAAAGAAATGGAAGAATGTTGAGAATCTGACAATGCAACCCTTTATGAACAGTGAGTAGAAAGTTTCTGGATTTCAGTTCTTGAGGCCATGATCACATCCTAAAAATACTACTTTTTGAACCACCACACTCAGGTCCCATCTACACTGCCATATAAAATCCAGATTATCTGCTTTGAACTGGATTATATGGCAGTGTAGACTCAGATAATCCAGTGCAAAGCAGAAAATGTGGATTATCTACTTTGATAATCGGGATTATACAGCAGTGTAGAAGGAGCATCAGAATCCTTCTGCCAGCATTTCTAGTAGCCCTGCTAGCTGGAAAATTCTGGGCTTCTAGGTCAAAAAGTAACTTTTTCAAGATCATGTCCTGTGTTAATTTAGCAGATTATTGAAACCTAGGCCCCTTCCACACAGCTAAATCAAATCCCATATTATCTGCTTTGGACTGGATTATATGACTGTGTGAACTCAGATAACCAGTTCAAAGCTGACATTGTGGGATTTTCTGCCTTGATATTCTGGGTTATATGGCAGTGTGGAAGGACCCCTAGGTCCCTTCTACACAGTTGTGTAAAATCTAGAACTAAATTATCTGGAGGTATAGACTCATGTAATCCAGTTCAAAGCAAATAATGTGAATTATCTGCCTTGATATTCTGGATTAAATGACAGTGTAGAAGGGCCCTTATTCTCGACAACTGAGCATCTATTTGTTGGTTTTTGTGCAGCTAAATAGTTATTAATTTTGAAGTAGAAACAATGGTTTCTACAAGGACTGAGACTCATAACTATGGTCAGTCATCCACATTGACTGGGATTAAGAGCAGAGGACCACCCCTTGCCCCAGTGGATAAATCCTGGAAAAAAAACATTTTTAACTTGGAAAACACCTATGAATCCCTAGATCCTCCAGTGCAGGTCCTCCTATGGTCAAGTCCTACCAGGCATTGACATAGAATTACAATAGAGGATCTAGAGATCCCCAGAGAGACCATATTAACCAAATCTGCCAATAATCAAGTCTGCAAAGTTAAACCCAGACATGTGGAGGATCAGCTGGACATGGTTTATACCTCATGCAAGGAGGCCATGTGTGAGGTCTTGAGACTACACAAAGAAATCACCACACCTTGAGGGAACACAAGAGTGTTGACCCCTTTTTTGTGATTTTTGACCCAGAAAACACCCTGATTTTAAAAACTCCAGGGATTTGTTGCAGTGGGCTTAGGTTGCGGGGAGGACACTGGAGGTTTTCCAGGGTTCATCGGAGCACACAAGGGCCACTAAAACATGTTCAATGGCCACACGTAAACCACAGATCAAACATTCTCCACACTGTGCTAGAATAATTAAAGGTATTTTGTCATTTTGGAGAGCTGCTTGTCTAAATTTGGAGCTGATCAAATTATCTAGTTTGATCCCTAGACTAACAAAATAATTAGCAGCTATAAACAAATTAAAATGTCAAATCAAGCAACTCATGTTTGAATGATTGGCTTTATATCTATTTAAAATCTTCTAGACCAGCTGGCCTTCACACACAAAAGAAAATTCCATGACAGAGTAGAAAAACATAATTTAAGATAACTTACCCACTACAATAAAACACAATAAGACAGAAATCTGTCAAACCAAGGAGAAAACAATGACTCATCAGCCAGCTAAAATCTATGTAAAGAAATTAAAATGTCCAGATGATTTTTTTTTAAAAAAAAACATTCATTGCATCTTTGAGCAGAACAATGAATTTTCTCAATATGAAACCTACCCAATGGGGCCATCAGATACGCACATACAAACCTATGTTGTGTAGCCTCTAAAGACAATAAGAAAGATTCTTTCTTCTGTGTAAATATGTGCCTGAGCATATCATAAATTATGCTTCCTGCTCCCTTTTATTTAAAACTAGCTTGGGGATCTGGCGCTGCTCGGGTAATTTGAGAAAGGCATTGTGTGCCAAGGTTGGTCTTTATCAGTCATTTATGTAGCTCGCAGTGCTCTCAGGAAGTTAGTGAAGGTACTGTGAGTCCCATCATCCATGGTTCATCCAAACAGCACCAGGATGTAGAGTGGGTGATGGGGGCTCTGTGTGCCAAGTCTGGTCTTGATCAGTCATTGGATGAGGGTCACAGCGGTCTCAGGAAGTGAGTGAAGTTACTTCAAGTCCCATCCTCCGTGATCCATCCTCGTCCAAACCATACCAGGATGTAGAGTGGGTCATGAGGGCACTGTGTGCCAAATTTGGCCTTTATTGGTCTTTGTTGGGGGCTGCAGTAGTCTGTGGGAACCTAAGGGTGGGAAAGTACTACAAATCCCATCATCCATTTTCCATCCTCCCCCAAACCTCACCAGGACATAAAGGGGGTCATGGGAGTTATGTGTGCCAAGTTTGCTCTTTATCAGTCTTTGTTGGGAGCCAAAGAGGTCTGAGGGAACCGAAGGGTTTGAAAATACTACAAATTCCATCAACCTTTGTCCATCCTCCCCCAAACCTCACCAGAACATAAAGGGGGTCATGGGGGTTATGTGTGCCAAGTTTGATCCAGGTCCGTCACCCATGCTGGTCACAGTGGCCCGTGAAAGTGGGAACCAGTCAGAAAGCTGCCATATACACCGTCCTCCCTCCGCATACAAACACTGACTTTTATTATATACATAGATTGTCATTTCTTTCACTCGAGATCATTTTATTACTTGGCACATCCAGATTTAAGTTGCAGATACTATCCTTGCCTTTCCTGATTGCAGGACTGAAATTTGGTAGGTAACTGAAGTGATCAAAGCCACTAGTACAGGCATGGGCAAACTTTGGCCCTCCAGGTGTTTTGGACTTCAACTCCCACAATTCCTAACAGTCTACTGGTTGTTAATAATTATGGGAGTTGGAGTCCAAAACACCTGGAGGGCCGAAGTTTGCCCATGCCTGCACTAGTCCAACAGTTTGCTACGAAACAACGAAATTCACTCACTACTCCATGCTGATCAGTGTATGCAGTACTGATTTTACCACTAATCCGAATGAAGACCTTGTTTCCAATGGCAAGTGCAGAGAGGTGACTGCAACGTTTTCTTTTGCACCTCTTAAGACAGCCTGTTGCTTTTAAGGGCAGTAGAGGGCACTGTGTGATTGCTAGTGTGGAAGAAAGATTCAACTCCTTGTCCAAATGGCATTAGTATATGGAATGGCAGGATGGACAGGTAGATAGGTAAATATATAAACAGATATATGAGAGCCAATGTGCTGTAGTGGTTTGAGTGTTGGGAAATGGTGCTGGAGACCAGTGTTCAAATTCTTGCTTGGCCATAAAACCCATTGGGTGACCTTGACAAGCCACACTCTCTCAGCATCAGAGAAAGGCAATGGCAAGCCTCTTCTGAATAACTCTTGCCAAGAAAATCCTATGATTGGTCAGAAATTGCTTGAAGAGCACATGCACTTCACAACAAATTACAATATATTGTATATAAACCTCTGCCATCTTATGATAGAAGTTAAAAAATAATTAAACAAGGCAAGAGTGCGCTACATTTTAAAAAGATAGAAGCACAATATCATTGCATTAAAAAGATTTTTCTCACACATGAATGAAGAACCAAGGACCAGTTTTAATAAAATAGTCTTTGTTCACTAGTAGAAAGATAGCAGAGGAGGAGTCAAGTACACCTCTTGTGAAAGGGAATTTCACAACCTTGAAATGGCCAAAGAAAAGTCTTTCTCCTGTGTCCTTAGATCTTAAAATTCAGGCAGGTTGGTATCATCTTCTTAGATATCATGATATTTTATTCTTAGGTCAAGTAGAAAAATATACTGGGATGGTCATCAAATGACATAATACAGACAACAGTAGGATGAGGACAGGTTCAACTTAGAAAAGTACTCAGAGTAACAACAACAACAAAAAAACAGAAAGCAATTGTCTTTGAACTTTGGGAAAGTTATTTATTTAAGAACTACATATCTCAGAAACCCACAACCAAATCAGCTGAGGATAATGGAGCATCTACTTCTCCATAAGCAGGGAACAAGATGCGAAGTGAGCACAATCACATTGCTCACCTTGTCATCTTATGTTGTTTGAACATCCTACCTGCAATGATGATACATGCAGTCTTCAAGATTTTACTGTACCCCAACTCCCATCAGCTGTAGTAATTATGTCTGATGATGAAGAATACAGGACTTGTAGTCCACCATCTAGAGGGCCACATAAAATGGCATGGCAGACTGAATTCGGTCTGCAGGCCTTTTGTTTGATGCATGTACTATAAGGCATCCCATCTGTTGTTGACCTCAACCAGAAGCAGACATATTCTCTGGACGTGTCTGTAGGTGATGCTTTCCTTAATTTACCATGGAAACAGGAAACTCTAAAATAAAATGAACTACTTCCAGAGAAGTTGTCATAGAGTTGCTCTGAAGGATCAAACATTCCTAGAGAAGTATGCCCTGCATAAATTTGCTACATCCCCCAGGGCAACTCCACAGTAATTTGCAGTAAAGGCTTACTATAGAGTGACCTGGAGGAACTAAAACAATGGTTCCCAACCTATAGGTCCCCAGATGTTTTGGCCTTCAACTCCCAGAAATCCTAACAGCTGGTAAACTGGCTGGGATTACTGTGAGTTTTAGACCAAAACACCTGAGCACTCATAGGTTGAGAACCCCTGAACTAGAACACATTTTGTGAGATGCCGGTAGGAGAATCTACATGTACCCATTCGCATACTGTATTTAGAGTTTCTAATGCTTTTAGTTTTATCTGCATTCAAAGTCTTTCTTGAAATATCCTGGGTTTCCCTAGCCACAGTCTTGAACTTTTCTATACCTACTCCACTGATCATATGTCACATCTAAACTCATGTAATATTTCAGAAATTTCTGCCAAGCCTTCTTTATTGTTATTCGAGAATGATAGCCAAAGTGCGGAAGTGTTGTAGCAAATTTACATGCACTAAACATTTGGAGCATCTTGTACAAACATTCTTCGTTCCCTCATTTGCTCTGTGTTGAATCAATGTCCTGGAAGCAATAACTGTGTTTAATGATAACAGCCATCTTTACTAATTCTGAATAATACAGACAAGAGATCGGAGATAAATTTTGGTTCAGAAAATACTGAATTAATTAACCTGACCTGGGAAGTAGGAATGAAAAGTCCTTGTTAACACAGGGAGTTTGCAGGAAATACTTTAAGATGAAGAAAATATTGTGTGGATCTCTAAAATACATTTGAAAGAAGACTCAGGAATTTCAGAGACTTCTTTTTTCATCAGGATGGAGTTCAGCAGTCCTTGATTGTGCATTTCCTGCATGGCAGGTGCCCATGTGGCCTCTTCCAACTCTATGATTTATGATTATTAGGAAATCTGAAGTACTCAAATGCATGCACATTCTTTTATTCTTGTGAGAATAGTACTGACAATGATATTGTGCCGCTATTGAATTTGCATTTTTTCCATAGGTTCAAACCAGTTATACTTGGATTTTCCCTTGTTGTTAATGGTTCTCTTTCTTGTTTGTTGTCTTCCAATATCTAGTTCAACTCGACCCTCCTTTGAATGTCCAGGTGGAAAACATCAGCAAGCATTCTTGTATTTTAACTTGGAAGCCCAACATTCTCTCTCATTACTTAACAAACAAACTAAAATATGAAGTCAAGTACAAAATTTACAATTCTGGTGAGGTAGGTGTGCTGAAACTCATCTTGATGTTTGGCAAATATTGTTTATTATTTAATGTTGTAGAATGGTTTTAATGACTATGTGTTTTTAGAGGTGTTCTAACCCACTTTGAGCCATGAGGAGAGGTGAGTAAGAAATAAAATTATCATCATCATCTCTTTTTGTTGTCCTTGACACATCAAGATTTCCAAAAGAATTGAAATTAAAACACAGTAAAGATCACCCATTGCCTCTTGAGCAGGAGAAAAGACATTCAACAATTAAGGAGAACTTGCCAATTGCATGAGCATTCAGCTGCTGAACTCTCCTTCTCAGAGGCTGAATGGCAATTTCTTTAGTATATTACTTCATGGCGGGGTTTTGCATTGGACGTTTCTCATGATCAGTTCCAACTCTATGGGTGCACCTACAATGTAGACTCAATGCAATTTGACTCTACTTGAACTGCCATGGCTCATTGCTATGAAATCATGGCAGTTGTAGTTTTATAAGGTCTTCTCTGCCAATAAGTGCTGGTAAGTCTACAACTTGCATGATTTGCTAGCTTTAAGCTACAGTGGTTAAAAGTGTTGTCCAACATCATTACTTACACAGTCTAGATGTACCCTATGAATATAGGAGAATAAATTCATCCAAGGACAGTCAGATTGGTTGTGCAATTTCTAGTGGTCTGATGTCCAATCCTTTACAATTGTTACCCACCATGAGCTTGATAATCCCGCTCAAAAACATTAAAAATCCAAATTAATAGTAACTACTGAGAAGATATTCAGTTATACTCTTTCTTTTCTGCCTTCTTTTTTTTTTTTTTACTCTCAGGAATGTTGAGAATTTAGTTAGACATACACCCGTTTTAGAACATTTACTTTTGAAACCTCCCAAAAGTTGAAAATCAGTTAAGGGACAAAAAATAGTCACCAGGAGAAACTTTGGGGTACAATTTAAGTCTGGAAAAGCCCATCCTATTGTAATCTAACTCATCCAGGAGGTACTTGATTGTAGTAGACTTCAATATGGTCTGTTTACAAGACCTGGTAGACAGCAATTGGACAAACATTTTGTAAATGATGACTACACACAACCCTGGAATAACTCCCTATTTTGACTCCATGTTGCAGGATGGCAGAATCCTTTCAATCAGTCAAGATCAGAAATTGGTAAAAATTGAGAATCTTTCTCCTGACACAGTGTACGAGGCAGCTATTCGTGCAAAAGTTCGAAAATATGATATTTACGAGAGTATTTGGAGCCCCTGGAGCATATCAACAACATGGAAGACCAAACCTACAGGTAGGATACGTAGAAGAAGACTTGTGTGGTCTGTGACTGGGGTTAATGTCATGACAGAAGTGAGTTCAGCTTTGGATTCCAAATGGTATGGAATGGAATGTGTTGCTTTTGCTAGCCTCACCACTTGGTAAAACAAAATACTGGATTACATTGACTTTGGCTGGATCTACGCTGTCCTATATCCCCCATGTGATCCCAGTTTATCTTCTCATCCCAGATTATCTGTCAGTGTATAATCATATAATCCAGTTCAAAGTTGATAATCTGGGATCAGATCCTAGGCTATGGGGCAGTGTAGATCTAGCCTTTATGCCTGCTATGGCAAGTACCTCTTCTGTTCTCGAAACACACATGCAAGGTTTGCATTATTTGTTAATTGGATGCAGAAGGAAATTCAACTGCTTTTTCCTAACCAGTAACATTTTCTAGAGTCAGATGAAAAAAATACTTATTTATTATTTATTTGCTATAGTTATATCCCACCTTTCTCAACCAGAAAGTGGACTCAGAGCAGCGCACATAAAGGCACAATTTGGTGCCATACAATACATCCAGCAAATAAAAACATTTACATTAAAACACCTGCTAAAAACATTTCAACATTAAGGAGCCAAGTAGGAGCCATGGTTTAAGTTTCTGCTTGACCATGAAGCTTGCTAGGACCACATCTACTCTGCCGTATAGAATCCAGATTATCTGCTTTGAACTGGGGTACATTGGATTACCCTGCCATGTAATCTAGTTAAAAGAAGATAATCCGGATTTTATATGGCAGTGTAAATGGGGCCTAAGTGACTTTGGACAAATACTCTCAGCCTTGGGGATAATGTCATGTCCTGCTCTGAGCAACTATCTGAGAAGAAGAGAAGACTGAAAAAGCTGTAGTAGGTAGAAGAAAGAGGATAGGAGTACAAAATGTACTTCATCACTTCATATAAAATGTCTTCCCCTCTTAACATTAACTTGCATGGTGTTGGGCATTTTTAAATCCATTCAAGGGATCAGATGGGACTGGGAAATATCTGTTTTCCATTAATTGCTAATTTCTGTTTTTTTCCTTTCTAATTATTCTTGAAACAGAATCTCCAAACATTCTCCTTCCAGTTCTTCTTGTTGGAAGTCTAGTCATTGTCTGCATCAGCATTACCGTGTTGGTCAAATCTACACTGTTAAAATGGTAAAAGAGAGCTGAAATCATGCTTTCATCCTCCACTTAGCATGCATCTTTTAGATCAATGGTTTTTAGCCTTTGGCCCTCCAAAGTTTTTGGACTGTGACACTCAAAAGCCTTGGCTAATATGGCCAATGGTGAGAGTTTCTGGGAGCTGAAGTCCAGCATGTCCAGAGAACTACATGCTCTCCTTCCCTTCTATAGAGAATTATTATTACACCATGTCATCTCTTAGGTATAAGACTCCTGACAGGCCACCACTGAAGGGTAGTTTTCCACTCGTAGGGATTTCCTCCAGCCTGGGCCATCAGTTACAGGAGCATTCAAAAATGGCATCTACCAAGTGCAGTTGTGCCATCTATTTTATTTTCTCATTCTGCTGCATGTGTAGATTCAGGCTGAAAAGTTGCAATCTTGTTACCAACTCTATTCCCTTGTCTTTCTGAGATTTAAGACAAAAATCACAAAGGGGGTCTGGTCCTCCAAGTCTCCCTTTTACACTCTCTTTCGGGTGGTGGTGTGAGAATGGTATGTCCTTACATTTTGTTCCTACTAATGCCAGCTCTTTCATTGTATGTGTTTCCTTTGATTGTGACAGAATAAGTACTGTGCTGCATTTCTCTTCCCTACTCCCTTGCATGACCTTTCATTTCAAAAATAACTTTCTTTTGTAACTTTTCCTATAAAGGAACACCTGGAGTGTCCCTCTTGTTAACGGTTTAAAAAAACTTTTTTTTAAGATCAAAGGACAGGCAGAACTTCTCTTAGAACTCAGATATTTGGTAGGAAGTCTTCTATGCTCCCAAGATTGTGATTAAAATCCATCCAAAAGGCCTGACACATTTTTCCCTATTCTTTGCAACATGAACAGTATGAAAGACTGCAGAATATTATGGCCTTTTTCCTTCAGGCCAAGATAAATAAACTGATGTAGGTAGCCTGTGAAGGGCTGATGTAGAGGTAAAATGACCACAAGCAATGTAGAAATGACAGCACAGAAAGGAATATCTGTCAAAAATACAAAACAGCTCTGGCATCTGCTTGAAAGTTGCCTGACTCTTTTCTCTGGTAATAGAAACCAGATTCTTTTTTGTCTCACCTCTCCCAGATGTGCTTAATGCACTGGTGTAAGTTACCAAATGCATCTCAATATATGCCTATAAGCAAAGAAAACCACACCATACACACAAAATCCTCATAGTAATAGAACAAACTGAAAAGCACCATTCACTGTTGCTATGCTTCTCTCATTTTTTAATGTCCGAGATTCGGAATCAGGCTGACTGAACAATATCACCTTACACAACTGTTTGAAGATTTACAGCCAGTGTCACAAATTTTATCTTTCTGCAACTTATTACATACTTACTCCTAAAACTATGTAACTGCTCATATAGGTTGATTATCCCTTATCCAGAATTCTGAAATCTGAAATACTTCAAAATTAAAAATCATCCAGATGTATGGTTGAGATAGTGACACCTTAGCTTACTGATGGTTCAGTGTACGCAAGCTTTGTTTCATGCACACATCTATTAAAATATTTTTAAAAAACGATATGCAGGCTATATCTCTACAGTGAAGCATAAATGAATTTCACATTTAGACTTTGTGCCCCATCTCCATTATGCATATATTTGCAAATACAAGCATTCCAAAATCCATATATATAGGGGGGGGGGATTCTCTCTCTCTCTCTCTCTCTCTCTCTCTCTCTCTATATATATATATATATATATATATATATATATATATATATATATCCCCAAACCAAAACACTTCTAGTCCCAAACATTTCAGGAAATAGATACTCAACTTGTACATCTCTGGTTTCAAATTGTGCCATCAGTGCATCTGAAAAATTGAAAGCTTGCAATAAAATAAGTCAGTCTTAAAGGCACTGCTAGGTTCCCCTAGCCCACATCCATTTATCCTTTATCTGGCTTTAAAAAAATGTAATGTGTCCCAAGAATGAGGGAGAAAATTAAAGCTTTTTTTCACAAAACAAAACAAAAATTGGGAAATGTGAGGAAAAGTTCTGGGAATAAATACTCCAAACTTAAACAGCATTCATATAACAAATTGATTACCCTCCCTTAGTTGTTCTGCTTGGCTATTCAAATCTATATTCACTCTGTGTTCTCTCTTTTGCTATATATGCTATAGGTTGAAGAAGACATTGAAGATCCAGTTACCAAATCCAAATGAATTCTTCCCATCTCTCAATGCTGTCCATGGAGGAGACATCCAGGTATGCAGTTTTGGGTATTACGAGAGCTAGAGAATGTGCTTGGTCTGCATTTTTCAGCAAGCCAACCTAACATTCACTTCCCAAACAGTTCTTGTTCAGAATCTATTCTTCAAATTCTGTGGTACAGTTTTCTTCTTAGTAACTGTGTATAAAAATGTAGTTATTAGAGAAATGTGTGTGCCAAAATACTCATGAAAAATGCAATCAAAATGTGTATATTGAGCATATATTAATTTCTAGAAATATCACAGATCATATGTATTATGTCCTTAAAGTATTCTATAGCAGGGATGGCCAAACTACAACATAAGACCTACTGAGGAAGTTGCCATTTGTTAGAATCTAAAGGGATGCATTTTGCTCATGCCTGTTCTACAGCTAGGATGGATTGTCTGCATTAGTTTTGCATATAAATCTGTCCAAAGCTACCTGTTTTTGGTTTTGCTTTTAATTTCTAGCTCTATTCAATCCTTGGTTCCAAGATACTATAGTAGGCTGGCTTGGGAAATCAGCTGTCTAAAAGGAATATATTTCCAAATCAATTCCTCCTATAATACCTTTGATCCAAAGACTGGAGCAAGCCAGCTAATAAAGAACCAGTTGGCTCTTGACTGAGCTTGTCTCTTTTGAGAAATACACGTCAAGCAACCCAGAAGAATACAATTGCATAAGAGTTTGGTGTGTATGGAAATCATAGCATAAGTTTATGTGATACATTTTCAGAACTTCTGCCCCAATACTATTTTAACCAGGAACAATACATAAAAATAGATTTTTGAAAGATCTTTAGGTTCCAGCCTTTAAAGAATCTCAAAAAAGAGGGGATTATATGGAAAATAGCACTGGGAACATTTTTCTCAATATGGCAGAGTACAAAACAGCACATGGATCATAAGAGGCCTTTGGGGCCATTGTTATGATCTGTAGAGCCTTCCCAGTTCTTTCAGATCCTACTTCCATTTGATTTTGTTCTGGTCACAAATTGAAAATTGTTACTCATTGGAAATTCCAGTGGCAATGATTCTCTGCTAAAGCAAAATAAATTATGCCTTGTTATACATTTTGCCCTTGAACACCCACAGAGGTTTGGAAAAGTAGTATACTTCCAACTACTTTGTGATTTTTTTAAACTGAAGTCTATAGCTGGGTATAAAATTAACCCTGGGCTCCTGGGTGCTTCATCATTACTTTTGTTTTGGAATAAGATACAAAAATGTTAGGTTCCCATTTACTGTAGAAATGGAAATTGTTCCTAGGTTTCTCCATTGTTGTTATTACTGTTGTCATTTTGAAGAATGCACGACAATTGTTTTGAATATCAATGCCTCTTTCCTTTATTTTCTGCCCCCTCCAAACCAACAGAAGTGGTTGTCCCCTGCAACATCCATGGCTGCTTTCCACATTGCTACTGCACATCCAGAGGTCTCTGTGCTTGAGATAATGCAAAAGGGAAGCCAAGAGTCTTCTCCCCTCACTCGCAAGGAATACAGCACAAATGTAAACACACCAGAGACCAGTGGTTATTCTTCATCCAGCTGTTTTTCCAATGGTGGCTATTTCTTCTTCCAACATGTCAACTCCTTTGAAATTCAGCCCTGCAAGGTGTACTTCACCTATGACCCCCTTGCTCAAGGAGGCAGTAGCAGTGAGGATGTTGACTCCTGCTCCTATAAAGTGCTCCATGAAACTGTTGACAACAGCCAGCTGTCACCTGCCTACAATATTATGGCAACCCATGAGAACAAATCTTTCCTACAAGAAGCAAAAAGCTCAACCCAGAAAGGTGAGGGTGGATCAGGAGATTTTTCATCATTGGAGACCATCTCCACAGAATCAAGTGTAGAAGAGGATAGTAACCAAAATGCTATTCCGCTCCCCAAGAGTCTAGGACAATTTTCCATGGTTTCTTCAAGTCTCCCAGAAAAAATTGATAGATGTAATAATGGCACTGAAGTGGTCCAAAATGTGGACCTTCCCACCAGCTCTATTGAAGATGATAGTTCTGCCTTTCTCCAGTCCATTATTCAGAATCAAAGCCAAGCCAATGTACCCGGCAAAGCAGCATCCCACAGACAATTCTCCACAACCTCAGAAAGCTATCTGTCCTTGCGGGATCTTCAGAGCCATTATAGCCATCACTCTGTTTGAATTTTTCAAAGAGGCAGACAAATTCTATCTGTTCCCCAATGCCTGATTTCCACAGCTATAGGTGTAATCTTCCTTCCCTTGCTGTTATGTGGGCATAATGCACCAACAGAATTATAGCCCCAGTGCAGTGAATTTCAGTCATGTAAAGCACATCTTCAAATGTACAGATAAGTAAGAGACAGAAACAGAGCACAATATGTTGGAAGAGAAAAATAATAGCTTAGTTGCCAAAAGCGATCATTGCCTTTTCTTTTTTTTTGTAAGCTGCTTTAACTTAGTTGATGAAGGAAAGAAAGTATGGATTTTTAAAATAAACACAAGAGGAGTCCAGGTAGAGTACTGCTAAGCATTCACTTAGACGACCAAACTTTGTTCCTGTAATGAAGTCATGGCAAAATAGTTACTAAGTGGGTCATGACACTGGATTCTGTATTCATCATTTCCCCTTCTGATGCAGCTTTACTAATGGGTGTTAGAACTTATTCTTTCCTGTTGTATATGCCCGTTTGGGCTGGACTGATGACTGGCTGATTCTTTACAGTAGAGCTGATGGCTCCCATTTCAATGTGCTCTGAGGGCCCTTCCAGACAGGCCCAAAAGTGTGGGGCCTGTTGCGCTTTTACCTGAGGTGTCCCAGCAATGCCTCAGATAAAAGCAAACTAATTTGGAACAAAGCAGGACTTCCGTGCTTTATTCTGAATTAGTTAGATACCCCATTACATCCAGGTCTTCCTGAAAGGTCCAGATCTAATGGGGTATTGGGCCTCTGGGGACTCACCCCTTGGTACATCCAAGACCAACTGGAACTACTCGGCGTGAGTCCCCATTTGCCATCTAGAACCCAAAGGTGTGAGATAGCGTCCCCCACCCCCCAAGAACTACCTAAAATATTTTAAAACTTACCATGCTGCCATTAATGTGATCTTGAAGTCCTTCTGTCACATAAAAATGATGTGCCAGGAGATGGAGGCAAGGAGTGATTTTTCTCCTGGCCTCTTCCAGGTCTCCTGGGGCATCATTTATACATGCCAGAAGGATTCTAGGACCACCTTAATGGCAGTTCAGTAATTTTTAAAAAGGTTTTAGGGTAGGGTTTTTTTTGGGGGGGGGTTGTCTGGGTGCCATCCCAGTACTTATTGAGATGGCATGTAGCCCACGAGGAAAGCCCAGTTTTTGGGGATGGGGACTTAAATGCGCACCAAAGTGGGTTTTTTAAACTCGCTTCAGCACGTGTTAATTGTAGTGGTGAAGCGCCCTGTGTTTCACTGACTCTCCAAGGTGCAGGAGCCTATTTGGCAGATAGGATTTAACACCTTTAAAGTTCAAAGCCACATTGTTCCCTAGTGATCCAGCTCTCTGCATCAGTCCTGACCATTTCATTTCTATAATTTTTCAAAATGTTGTATTGATTTGTCATTTCTGAAGTCTCTTTTTGAGATGGAAATCCTGTAGATACTGATTGAGAGTGAAGACGATGGAGTTCAATAAGCCTTTTTTCTAAGGAGGCATCCTACACTTGGGAACAATGCAATGAAGATGCCAGGACTTGAATTTGGGATCATCACCTGACTACAGAGAAAATTATCAGCAACTGAACTGGAGTCTCTCCATCTTGAGCTTCTTGGGGAGCAAGCTAAAGAAAGTTAGTGTGATCATAAGGAGATATTTAACAACTATGGCTACTATGCAGAGCTTGCTGTTGTCTTTAATGGATGATGTGATGGATTCACTTGACAAGTTTATTTTGTAATTCACAGGTGGAAAAGGGAGACGTGTCTCCAAGTGCTCAGTGGATGCTGTTTTTACTTTGGAAAAAGTGTAACATGTTTCAGTGTATATATTTCAATATATTTCTTCAGAAACTTCAACATCCTAATAATAAATAGAAACATAAGCTTAAAATTAAAAGGACAGCACATAATTATATAATAATACATACATGATACATCATAATAACCTAATTTTTATCTCTGTATATAAATTAAAGCCTATCCATGCCAATGTGAAATCTAAATTTCACGTTGGCATGTGAAAATTTCAGGAACCAAGAATCTCTCATTCCATTTTCTTGACAGAAAAGAAACACATTAACTAGGCCATTGTCCTTTGGGGTTCCTCAGGTTTCTGTTTTCTCTCCCATGCTGTTTAACATATACATGAAACGTTTGGGAGAGGTCATCTGGAGTTATGGAGTTTGATGCCACCTGTATGCAGATGACACCTTACTCTACTACTATTTCCCACCTAAAGCCAAGGAAGCTATCTTGACCCTAAACCAGTGCCTGTCATCAGAAATGGACTGGATGAGGACAAACAAATTGAAACTGAATCCAGACAAGACAGAGGTGCTCGTGGTCAGTCAGAAGGCAGATCAGGGAATCCAGCCTGTGCAAGATGGGGTTACAGTCCCCCTGAAAACATAAGTCTGCAGTTTGGAGATCCTTCTGGACTTAGCACTGAACCTGAATGCCCAGGTGTTAGCAGTGGCCAGGAAGGCCTTTTTTTAACAATTAAAACTTGTGTTCCAACTGTGCTCATTCCTTGAGAATCCCGATCCAGCCTTAAGGTGCTTATGTTGCATCCCATCTGAATTACAGTAATGCACTCTACGTGGGGCTGCCTATGAAGAGTGCTTAGAAACTTCACTTGATCCAAAGAGCTGCAGCCAAGTTGATAACTGGGGCTGGCTACAAGGAGTGGACAACCTCCCTATTACAGCAACTCCACTGGCTGGCTGCCTGTTTCCAGGCACAATTCACGGTGTTTGTTATGACCTAAAGCCCTAGATAGCTCAGATCCAGGCTATTTTGCTGATTGCATCCCCTTGTACGAACCTACTTGGGCCCTGAAATCTTCAGGAGAGCCCCTTCTCTCGGTCCCACCTCCATCTCAAACTTGGTTGATAGGAACAACAGAGGATGCCTTTTTGGTGGTGTACAGAAGTGATTATAATAATATGATTATAACTGTATTTGTGTTTGCATTGGTTGCCCTAAGGCTGGAGCGGCCTAGCTGAGAGGAGTGTGTTACCATGGAAACGATGCTGCAGAGGAGTGGGAGGAGCTTAGAGAAGAGTAGTTTTTGAAAAGCGACAGTTAAGAGTCAGTCAGGTTTTAAGCTCAGAGGAGTGAAGAAGCAGAGTTAGGTTAGGAGGAGTGAACAGTCATGTAGAGAGAAAGTGGGAAGTAGAGAAACAGTGTTTGGTGAATAGTTAGAGATTTCTTCAGTTAGGAAAGCTGAAGGGGAAAACCTTATTAGTTTCTTTAGTTAGAAAGAACTAACAGAGGCTTGTTTAGATCACTAGTTAAAAGAACTAGAGATCTGGTGTTTGATCAAGGAAGAATCAAGCAGGGAGACTATTCACCACAGAAAACATTGTTTGATAAGGTGCTTCACCACAGCAAGAGTTTTGTAGGTTGTAGCATCGGAAGTCTGAGCTGTATCGCAACCAAGTTGCATGTGACGTTCTCCAAGTATTTGCCAAGCTTAACATCAAACTGCAACCATACGCTTTGTTACAAAATAAACTTGTTCTCTTTGGTTTTTAAAACTGCCTCATCTCCATTAATCCTACGTTCGGTGTACCTAATCATACAAAATTACCTCACAACACAAATAGGGTGGCAGCCAGTGGTATTAATACCAGAGCCTTTTACAAATCGGTGGCTCCTCTCTCCTAAACCTAAGCACCTCTTCGCAATTTGGTGGCGGCTCTTCGTAAATTAGCGGCTTCGTTACAAATTGGTGATAGTAGCTTTACAGGTGGCTACCCTCAACTCTGAAACTCCCTGCCCAGAGAAGCCAGAATGGCTCCTGTGAAGTCTTGGTTCTGTCTTTTCATCTCCTCTGCTTTAGTTCCCCCTGTTTAGGTTTTCCAATAATGTAGATACCCTCCTTTGTATTAGTTTTTGGGTGGAACATAAAAAAAACCCCTAAAGACCAGTGTTAGTTGGGCTATTCCATTTGCCTGTATAGAGCTCTTTTGTTGGACTCTTTGCTTTCTTAATTTCTTTCTTTCTTTTGTTTTCTTTTTCTTTTCTTTTTTTGCAACAGAGCTACAGAAATAGAGGCTTGGGAATTGTCTGATAAACCTAGGCCCAAGCAAAAAACAGGCATCCTTAGCACCTGCATTGAGCAGTGTCCAAATACCACAAGTCCAAGAGACAACAGAAGCTTTTGACCAGCTTAAGCTTCACAAGGAAGAAGACTGAGACAGTTTATAACCATCACTTTGCACTAGAAGCAGGAAACTTTCAAAGACTCAGGAGAGATGACTGCAACCAGCAAAATCTCCTTTTGTATTGTTTCAAATTTCACTTGCTACTAGTGAAATTTAAAAATAAAGATAGAATATAAGTGGGGGAATGGTCAATTTTTATCTATTTTATGTAATTTTACTTTTTAAAAAAGCCTTCTTTAGGCACATGTTCCTCTAGCATTTACTCAACCTGCAAAATGATCCCAGGCCATATCGTCTTCTATTTAAAAGAAGGTCAACCAATGCAAACAAATGAAAACCTGTACATACACTTACTTATTATCTGCTTAATTCAATTAGAATTTTAACAATTTACATTCATTTCCTGTTTTTGCTAGAACAAGGAGTATAGGAAATAATTGTGGTTAGGCTAACAAACACAAAACGAAAGTGAGGCCCTGTACTGAAGAGATGGTGCAAACACAGAAAATATTTCATGGTCTGCTACTATATATTCAGGACAAAGTCCACTTTCTTCTGTTGTAGCATTTTCCATGGTGAAATTCAGTGTACAGTATACTCTTTCATCAGACATGTTTTACATAGCAAGGATCTCTTACTGGCAAGCAATTTGTCTTGGTTTTACAATAGATGCAAATGAATAAAAACATAACTATGATTTTTATTCAGTCTTCATGTGGTTTCATTCATGTTAATTGTGTTTTACACTGAGTGCATAAGTGGACTGGCTCTCTGAAGGGGCTAACAATCTAAAACACCTTGTGCTGGCAGGACTGCTGACCAAAAGGTCAGCAGTTTGAATGTGGGGAGCAGAGTGAGCTCCCATCTGTCAGCTCCAGCTTCCCATGCAGAGACATGAGAGAAGCCTCCTACAGGATGATAAAACATCCAGGCGTCCCCTGGCCATCGTCCTTGACGATGGCCAATTCTCTTACACCAGAAACAGCTTGCAGTTTTTCAAGTTACTCCTGACATAAAAACAAATCTGAAACACTTTTCATTACCTGAGAAAACATACATTTTTATAGATACAGATACTGCAAGAAAAAAACACAGGAAAAATAAATATAAATCTGAAACTGTTTGAGAGAATTTCACAAATACTGCTATGTTTGGAGCATGAAATATTATTACACCAAACTATTATACTTCTGCTGTACATCGCTGCAATAGGGTGCGTCTGCCTGGCATTATTATGGCATTATTATGGCACTGGCATGTTTACCTCAAAGAAGGGAAGGAGCATGACAAACGTTAATTGAATATTTATGTCTTCAGGACAAATGATTTGGCTTTGATTTCAGGCACAGATGCAGATCTGTATCTATTCTTGTGCACTGAGGTCATCCATCCTTGCTGTTAACTATCTGATGATTTCCCTTAGGCAAACAATGGAAAGAGTGGACTTCAACTATCTGACAATTTTTTCCAGGTTCATACCACTGCTACATAATAAGCTTACCATAAGCAAAGGAAAAGCACATTGCATTTTTATCCTTCCAACCAAAGAAGCCCATCACTATTATATTCCACTTGCAATTGCATTTTTAGGATTTTAAGGGTTACATTATTGTTGTGAAAAATAATATCCTAGCATAAAGAAACTCGCATTGATTCTTATAAAAATATAAAATAATCCAGAACTATGTTTAAAATGCCAGCTGGCATTCTGTTGGGAATTTATACCATCATAATAACAATAATGTAAAAGTGAATTATAACCCCACTCTTCCCAGGGGGGAAGCAGAGATGTACATACATCTCCAGGATCATTGCACAACTGGGACCAACAGTATAGCGGTGCATGTGGTGCCTTGAACAATGGGCTATAGCAGGCATGGGCAAATTTTGACATAATTCCCATAATTCCTAACAGCCTACCAACTGTTAGGAATTGTGGGAGTTGGAGTCCAAAACACCTGGAGGGCCAAAGTTTGCCCATGCCTGGGCTATAGAGTGCAATGGAATCTATAGTTCAATTGACATGTTTATTTCCTTTTTTTTTTTTTTTGCTCTTTCCAGGCCAGGGTGACCAATGCTTGGGCAGCTTCTATCATATATTTTACATTCTTTATGGCTACCTTTAACTTCTATTCTTTGGATCCAATGTTCAGTGTCCTTCTCATTACTATTAAGTTCCTCTTTCCATACCTCGATAACTGTTTGTTTCAAATTATATTGTTTTTCTACTATTTTCCTATATATGAAACCCACCAAACTTTTATCTTTCTCTGTTTTCCATTTTAAAAATGTCTAAATCTGCTTCTGGGCTTTCTTTTCCATTCTATAATCCTCTGTTCTCTGGGGAAAATGGAATGAAAAGGAAGAGTAGCCGACCAACGGTAAGATGGATGGATGGTATCCTTGAAGTGACTGACTTGACCTTGAATGAGCTGGGAGTGGCCACGGCCAACAGGGAGCTCTACCGTGGGCTGGTTCATGAGGTTACAAAGAGTCGAAAGTGACTGAAGAATAAACAACAACAACAAAATCCTCTCTTTCATTCCTTTCCAAAAAAGCCAGTTATTTGTTGACATTTCTTTTAACGCCTCCTAATCTTTAATTGTTCCATCTGAATTTAGGAGGTCTTCAATCGTCCTTGTTCCACTTTGTTTCATATTTTGATCACTTTGCCATATATCTGTTCACTTTTGTTATCTAGTATACCTATTGGAAGCTTTTCTATTTTATTTATTGGGAACTTACTCTGCCATTTTCCCAACATTCCAACTCTTTGATTTATTTAATAATTTATTATCCACCTCATCCTTTAAACACAAGCAATGATCCAACCCGTTTATTGTTTTCTCAATTCTGGCCCATCTTTTAGACTCCTTGAGATCTAATCTGAGTACTTTCATTAATTGGCAGGCCTCAAAATAATTCTTTAAGTCAGGGGCTCTACATTCTCTGTTTTCTTCCAAAGATTAGAGTATCAAATTGATGATTCTACTTTTATTAGCCCCTACTACCCAATAGTCAATCGAGTTGTCTCATTTCTTTATTATTTTGTTTGTGATGCTGTAAGATAAACTTGGAACAAGAATAAAAACTTGGGTAAAATCATCGTCTTTGCTATTGTGATTCTATTTGACATATCCCAGTTCCATTTTTTCCAATTGTGTATTTACCTATAGACTTTTTAACATAGTGGAATGTAGTTTGATATGTGAATACGGGGTGAGAACTGCAGAGACGTTTTCCTTTTTGCAGCAACTGAAAATTATTAACCCTCACCTGTGAAGATTAAATAGTCAAATATTAACATTCCTAGCTTTCCCACTCCACCATTTCAGGAAGTTTATTATGTCTGTACTGCACATTTAATCTGGTCAAAAGAAATGATTCAGGACTCTTTTATCTTCTTCATAAAACAATAACTTTCCAAATCTTTTGATTTGGAGCCACGAAAGATGAATAGGTTTGAAACTCAATTATATTTGATGGCCAATGACAAAGAGTAACAGCTGCAGGAATCTGTCCTCTCCTTGGCAATAGCTACAGAGAGTGTTGGCCACCTGGGATCATATGAAGAAGGGCAGGGTGCCAATCAACCAAATTGCTTGCAGCAAATTTATATTCTTTGGATGCATTGCTTGAGGTCACAGAAATTATGCACGGTGCATTTGCTCTAGAATATGAACAAATGACCTAAGTAGAAATATCACCATTTACTCTCTCTGCTTTCTTGCTTTTCTAATATGAACCACTTTGGATGCCACTGCTTCACTGGAGCAGTTTCACATCAGGGGAGCTGAGTAGCAGGCAGCTAATGCTGGCACAGGTTGCAACATTTTCCTGGTTTGGTGATATCTGTGGTAAAGGCCTCAGATGGGCATTGCTAGAAGTTCTGGAAAAACCTCAGTCAAGAAGAACTGTTTCTGATTCTTGTTCACTGAACTTTTCAACTGAGCAGTCTGTGAACTGGGGCAGTTCCCCAACAGATGATCTCAGGCATCTACCCCATCAGTCATTTGTGGGGTCCTTTGTCTTCATCCAACATCTGGGGAGAGGGCAGATGAGCTCCCTCTGTATGCAGAGACATGAGAGAAACCTGCCACAGGATGGTAAAACATCAAAACATCCAGGCGTCCCCTGTGCAACGTCATTGCAAACGGCCAATTCTCTCACACCAGAAGCAACTTGCGGTTCCTCAAGTCACTCCTGACACACACAAAAATCCAATATGAATGAAGTAACAGAATAATGGCAGTGGTGGTAAATAAAATGTATTACTGCCAAACACAAAATTTGAGAAATTTACCTCTTGGATTATGATCCCCATAATTCCCCACTAATGTGCTTGTTGGAAGTTCATAAAATTATTTTCAGGGAAATCCAGCTCTAAAGTATTTGGCTCCTTCTTTGCTTGTATTGAGGGAGGGATGGGGGTGAACCTCTGCCCCAAAATCTTGGGAGCATCATGGTGTCATCCATTCCACAGGGCCTCTAAAATAATACACATTACATTTAAGGGTCCTGGTCCTGGGACAAAGGACTGTCATTTGATTCATAAAGCTCCCAAGGGATTGAGTGTGCTGCACAATGAATGAGGTGGTACAGGGTTCAATATTTTTCCAACCAAAATCTGCTTCTCATGCTGGTGAATTGTACTTGAGTCACAGTCCCAGGCAGGGCCAATTTTATTCATATGAGAGGACAGATGCAGCACAATGAGTAGGAGTGGTACAGCATTGCCATTCAGTATTCTTAGTATTGCCTTAGTATTCTAGCTAGTGCCCTTCATCTGTGGTATATGAAGTGATTCACCAGTATTACTATGGAAACATGGTTGTCAAGAACCAAAACCAACTCCATCAGGCGGGTGCCATTCCACTCCAACGGGGTCTAATTTTGGCCTGCTGTGGCTTGTATTATTCAGACACTTGGATACCATGGTGATGAAAAACGAGCTATGACAATGTCTGGAGTCACTTTTAATTCATCCCTCCCGCATGCAAAATGAGGACTTTTCAGAATCTAACATGAACCAAGGGAATATTTTTCATTAGGAGGACATAACTTCCAGAATCCTGCAGCTAGCACAACAATCCTGGTTGCAGAATTTTGGAGTTATGGTCGGGAAAAAAAACTTTTCTATTTTCTTTTAACTGATATGTCTAGATAGGTTCCGGTGGGAATCCGGAGGAGGTTGCCACACTGCGAGGAGCTCCGTCCTCCTGTCCAAAGACATATAAGACTTTTTAATAGACAATAATGCCTTCCCTCTCTTGTTGAAAGTATTCTCTAAGCCATTGGTTTTAAATATTTAGAATGCAGGAGGCTTCAGAGTTGCTGTTAACAGAAAAATCAAATCTGGAATATAGTGCCAGCATCCTTAATATTGGCATGACATTATTTTGTTCTAGTTCAAATTCTTGGCATCTTTACTCTTGCAGGCTCCTATGCATTTTCTCAGGATTTTTATACCTTACTCCAAATAAGAACTCTTCCCAAAGTGGGAAGAAAGCTCCAACCTGTTCTAGATGATCACTCAGTTTTTACACCACTGTTAAAAGGCAACAAAGAAGAAGGTATCCTTAATATGAAAGTACATATGTTACCAGTTCTAGATTATATTTTATTTATTTCCTTCATCCAGTCTCATTTTGATATTATCCCCTTGAAACCAACAGGTGTAACTAAGACAGGGAAAAGTTGCTGGGCAACTCATGAACATCACTCTGGAGGGGAAAACCAGAGGGAGAAGGAGACTGGAGGCAAGCAGTGTACTATCCTGTCTCGTCTCTGCTATATCACCCATCCAGCAGAGTGTTATCTTCCAAACTGTCCTCAATAGTTATCCCACCTTATTGCTGGTGCTCCTCTATTTTGTAGGTTACTGTGGCTTCCATATTTAACACAGATAATTGCTGCAATATTTCCACAGGGACGTAATAGGCTTTTGCATTGGACAAGACCATCCACATTATGTAGCTACCAAGTGAGACAGAACATTTTGTTAGACAGCAAATGACAGGATTCCTCCCGCCCCCAATAAGCACAGTTCTCCATGCAGGGCAAAGGACAAAAAAGAAAGAGAACAGACCATTGGATAAGCGCTTGCAAGGAAGACCTTGAGCTTAAGTAAATACTACCTCTCCAGTCATTATTTACATATAGACATGCATGTGTCAGATTTTGGATGAGAGCACTCCAGGCCACCACAGCAACAGAAGCCTTCGAAAGGTACGTCTTTGTGTGATTGTGAAGTAGAACTGTACTGGCATTTCTCTTTTAGCAAAGATGAACATTTGGGGGCTGATACTAGCATTTGGATGGATCTAGACCAAAGTCAAGGCTAGACCAAAACATTGTTTGGCCTGAAATGCAAGACAAGATGGCAACCCCTCCTTTCTCAACACAGAAGCCAAGTGGATTGACTGTCTCATAAAACATGCTTTGATGCTAAAATTGGGAAAGGCAGCCAATAGTTAAGGCTGTAGGACAAGTTGTGCATAACACAGAGATCTATATTTCAAAAGGAATGGAGATGGGAATTTGAGATGAAAAAGCAAAAGGTTGCCACAATTGAACTGTTGCATCTGCTGTCTTAGGCAGTTCACCTATTTGGTAACCTCAAATATTTTCATATGGATGTGGAAGTATAGATAAACCATCTTTCGTTCTGTGAAAAGCACTAGTTATTAACTGGAACAGCAAAATAGATGTCCCTACATTTTGCTTGCAAGTAGCTATAAAAATACAAAGCAAGGGATAACTTGCTGATTCAGCAGTGAGTTTATAGTTTGGTTTCATATACCATATGCATATAGACAGATTCCTCTTATGATCCTTATTCTCACCTTCTTACCACTAAAAGTAACAAGGAGGTCTTAACTCTGCACTAGGAAAAGCTACAAAATTGTCTGATTTGGAACATTTCTGGTTCACTTGGCTGTTTATTCAAAAGAAAAGAGAACAAGAGAAGGGAGAACAGAAAATTGCTGATTTATGTTAGCTTCCTGTTTCTCCAGATCATTGAATTATTTTGGTCCAAGGCCAAGCTTGCAGAGGCCTTGCCAGATCAACCATATTGTCTGTGTTTTGCTTTAGAATGAATATTCATAATCATTTCAGTTAAAGAAATTCCAATATAAAATAACTTTCTTGTAATTTTTTTTCACATGCACTTTTCTTTTAATACAGTTCCAAATAAACATTTAATCATATGCCCTGAAATGTTAAGTTTTTATTCTAATGGATAATTCATTTGAAATGTTGCATACAATTGGTATCAAACTGTTCAAAAAAATTGCATAGATTTTGCAAGTGTATGTTTTCAGTGGAGCATATTTGGCTATGGTCCGTGCCACTGACTCCCACAGAAATACAGATCATGGCACTAGTTTGTCTTCTAGGGATATTGCCAGCCTTTTGAATTCCTACCATGAAATAAATAGACCAGAGACAAAACATGGAGCTAGAAGGCAATTTCTCGACCTATTTATTTATTTGTTAGGACTTCTATGTGAACCTGTAAACTGAGTAAACCTGTCAGGGAAAATAATTTGTAAGAGATACCATTTGATGTCAGCCATCTGAGGGAAATGTCCTTCAGCCAGGTGTCCCTTGATTTGACCACCTCCAAGGACTGTCCTTGTACTAGCACTAAGGTCCTGAGGGCTACCCCAAATCCTTTGTCTGTACACCTCAGCCAATCTTAAGTGAAAAGTCATCTTAAGGATGCTTCCTCACAACCCTCAATAAGAATGAGAAGCTCTCATTCCATCCCCAAGGGGGAACCCCATTTGCAGCCCCCTGAGCCTCAAAACTTATTGTTATGGAAGTCCACCCTTCATTCACAAAGGTGGGTGCCATGATGCTTACCAGGAGTATGTAGCCTTTTACATGCTATGACCATCTATTTAAATGACTCACCTTGAGCCAATTATCAAACCCAGCCAAAACAGTGTGAGGTAAGTTAATCCCCCACCCCTAAATAGGCTCAACTCTGCCCCATGACATGTGATTGAGGCTGGTGAAGCCAACCAACCTCAACCAAAGCTAGCCTTCTTCATGGGAGGCTTCCACTGCCCCCCCCCCCCAGCACCTCATGGGCTTGCCCTTTGGTTGTAGTAGGGCACTGTGAAAAAGAGTGAAGCAGCTGCCTCTGATGATCGATATTGAGCAGTGAGATGCTGTAGAACATAGCTGTGACCCACACAACCTGACCTCTGGCCCTCAGATGCAGTGCAAGAAACTGTCATCACTTGTTCTGATCAGATTCACCACCAGTGTTATTAGTTATACATGTATGTGATTAGTTATACATGTATTAGTTATTAGTTATACATGTATTAGTAATACATGTATGTGAGGTAGAAAGGATTGTAATCTTGTATTTATATGTGGTTGCAAAATGTTTCCTCATAATTAACTTATCTAGCTTCCGAGTGTGTGCATCTTTCTACATAGTTATCCTAGTTATAACCACATAAGATCAATAAGAAACCTTAATCAGATGGAGAGGTCAAATCTCCTCCACAGACCAGATGATGTCAGGGGTGTGGCCAGGTACACAGATGTCATCAGGTCTTTGGACAAAACACTAGATGAATTTTTTTCCAAGTGAAGAAACATTAGGAGACATGAAGTGCTGTAAGACGGCCTGGAGGTACTGATTGAGTTCTGTCCCAACTGAGGGTCATGTGGCATTTGCAAAGACTGGCACACTCAGTATTACTTCTCCTTCTTCTTCCCCTTTCAGGGAAGCTGGGAGTAAAGCACTTTCTTCTCATGTTTACAGATAGCCAAAATTTGACCAAGCTCACTTCCCCTCCTTGAACAAGAGCAAATAATGATTGGAAATAGTTGTTGGGAGTCAGGTTATTCAGCACTGAAGAGTCCGATGTTCAGGAATGTGCACCCCATGGTGATAGTGGTCTCTCCATCTGGAGAACTGGAGTCTGAGATAATGTGAGGTTCTGCTCCCCAGCAAGCGATTGGAGATGCTAAGGACTCTATTGGCATTCCACTACCCCATTGTAAATTATTAAAAGATAGATAGAAGTCCCATCAATCCCAGCAACGATTAAAGAGGAGATGTTGACCTAACTAAGTACCTGGTGTTTTGGAGACAGCTCATCATACATCTCTCAAAAGTTCCCCAACATCTCTCTTCATTTTCATAACTGTCTTATATGGGTGATAGATATCACGATGCTCTTCAGGATTCAAGTTTTCTTGACCTTAAACTTTCTACAAGTCCATTTATCCCTTGTTTGCCTCATGTATATGGGCTATTGGCTTGATTATAACAACTCCTGGACTGGCTGACAACCACCCTCTTGTTTTCCACTTCAGCTTGTTAGATAACCTGCAAGTGATATGGACTCAATTAACTGCTCATAATCTCTGGCATTCTAACTACCTAATTCCTTGGACACTTAATGTCTGAAACAGGTCTAGTCTCCAGGGAAAGGATTTGGGGACAACCTTCTTTAAGGATGTGGGACTTGTCTACAGATCTCCACAAATTCAATGGAGCTTTGAAGGAGTAGGGCCAAAGATTGTAGGTCCCTCTCTGCTGAGATAAGCCCTTGGTTGTTGATAATGGGTCTGAACCTTGCTTTATTGTTTGGTAAGATACCCATGATGGAGAGAGAGGAAAAGGAAAAGGATGCAGTGGAATTTCCTCAAGAGAAACGAAAGAACCACTTTCGAAACTGCCAGCGTTGCCTCCCACTTTGGATAGTCTTTGTACTGTTGGGTGGAGCAGGTGCCATAACTTGGTACTTCTTAGGTAATACATGCCTTTTTATTGTTCTTTTGATCTGTGTTCATTGCCATTGAATAATGCAACATAATGTGAGAATGTGTTCAGCACACACATATATATACCAAAGGCTGGTGATACCAATATTTCATTTGTGCATACCATAACATTTCTTTAAGTTTTCTATCTGAGGTAAAAGATTACATGACTTCTTTGTGCTTTTAAACATACTTCATTTAAATTTTAGGATTTTTAATGGAACGTTTGTGGGGAAATGTGGTATTTTTAAAAAAGTTTTTGCATATACACCTGAACCAAAGACACTATTTTGTGCAAAACATTGCCATTTTCATCATGTGCAAATGTGAAAAATCTCACAGCTATTGTTTGCTTTTTTCCAAAAAGTTGTCTCAATCTGTTGAGACACAATTGCTTGTGAAGGACAAGAAAATGCCCGTACACATTTTACATTCATAGTCAAGGATGTAAATATGTGACCTTCCTCAGACCATTTATTATTCTCTGAGCAATATAAATAGCATATTTTGTCCATAAATCTAAAATTGCTTGATGCCTTCTTGTGACAGATTACAGACCCCGGCATCTTCTTGAGTCAAGTCCCCTACATTTCTATTCTGGCAGTCTGAGAATTATCAATCGGCAATATTCCCTGGATCATGGATGGATGGAATCCAGAGCCTTCTGGGCAGAGACAAGAAAGACACAGAAAATGGTGGGACACAGCTTTATGAGCAGCAAAGGGTAGTAGACAGCTTAGTTAGCAAGGGGCTGTAGGCTTGACTGCTCCTCCAGTGCTTGAGTTAGAAGTACCCCATATCCTACAATATCAGGGCCAAAATCTGAGATACCTCCTATACATTTCAAATGGGGCATGCTCTGCTGATGTCATAAAGCATGGGACTTTAACAATCCATCAGAGGTTATTAGAGCAAGCACTTTCTCCAGCTAAAAATTATCTGTTTTGAGCAAGTAGAAAACTACAAGTTTTCCAAGTTCTGCTTTAAGGTCATGTGGGAACTGTAGTCCAACCAGAGAAAGTTTTCCAGTCTCTGCTCTGAAAAGAAACCCATCTATGGTAACTGTTCCGAAGCAATCATACGGTTATTTTGATCATTATATTGCTTTTGAAGAGTGGCTTTCTGTATCCTTGTTGCCCCAAAAGTAACTAGTTACAGTAACATAGCTTCTAATAACATTCAAGTTGTGTTGACTATGTATGACCATGTTGGAGGCTTTCATGGCTGGAATCACTGGATTACTGTGAGTTTTCCGGGCTGTATGACCATGTTCCAGAAGCATTATCTCCTGACATTTGCCCACATTTATGACAGGCATCCTCCGAGTTTTGAGGTCTGAGACCTCACAATCTCTGAAGTTGCCTGCCAGAGATGTGGGGAAAAACATCAGGAGAGAATGCTTCTGGAACATGGTCATACAGCCCGGAAAACTCACAGCAATCCAGTGATTCGGGCCATGAAAGCATTCAACAACACAGTGTTCAAGTTGTTGCCTTACAGACTCTGGCTTGCTTAAATCATAAGTGTGATGTCTAAATCTGCAACAGTGGCTTTCCCCTGGATAGTTTCCCAGTTGAAAAAAAGGGAAGAACAGAAACAACAAAAACAGCATGGCTGTCTCAGCAGCATTTTATGCAAATTGTGGTTTATGTAAAGAATCATAGTTAACATAACCCAGGACTCCTTGGATGTGCAAAAAGGCAGGCATTAAGCAGGCAATGCCATGCACATCCTTGCTCATAACAGTTGAATTTTAGTGGTAAATTTCTGCATAACAGGCCATGATAATGTGAAGTAGGAGCAATCAGGATTAAGGTAGAAGTAGTTCTTATCTGTATCTAGTTTTTGTATAATCAGAGAAAATATTACTGTGTAATAATACTATTGCCTGTTATTATTTGAAAATCTTTCATTTGCAGCTCAAAGACCTTATTCATGCCACAGATCTGTCTCCTTACTACAATTCTAGTGCTGTTTATGCCTTTGGGTGAGTGAATTATTATGAGCCTCTTTGGAGGCCGACTTTCTAGATCAATGTCCTTCCTAGATATATTAAATTATAGTCCCCTTCATCATGGCCATACTGGATGGGTGCTAGTCCGACTGACTGGAGTTGGCCCAACACATGTGAAAGACACCACATTAGGGAAGGCTGCCTTAGACCAGAGATGGACAAAAGGCAGGCTAGGATATACTGGAAGACCTCTCTTTGGTTTGAAATAGATCTTCAAGGGTTTGTGAATAAATATGATTTTTTTAAAAAAAATCTCTCTAGAATGCTGGACCTTTTGCTAATCGCTTACTTGTTGATCATATCATTCTTCACTTTTAAAATAGAAAAGATACCCATTATCCAAACTTTGTAGACCTCTGCTTGTTGATTTTAAAGTTTTGTATAAAATTCTGGTCCATAATATCACACTTATAAATCCCCCTTCTGTATATGTAAGCTATCCCAGTGTATGTAGATCATAGAATGAAAGAAGCAATTGACTGCACCCAGAACCATTATGCATCTGGTTTCATACCCTTTGGGCCATTTTTTTTTTTGCAACTGCCTATCTTGTTGGTGGATTTTGGTTTTCTATTTTAAAAAACAAAGAAAGATAAATCCTGCAAACCTGAAGAGTGCTCATCCTATCAGGTTTAGAAACTGTAATGTTTTCATCTAAAAGGTTAGATAAAGCCTCTATATTTCCCCGTGTCCATGATTTTGGGTATTATGTCTTATACTGTAATTAGAAATATTTTAGTTTGATCAAGTAGTAGTGACATAAGACATATGGAAAAGGGGAGATGAAATGGTAAACATGTTCATTATCTCGCTGTTAGGGAGGGATCCCTCACCTGCTTCTTATGGTTTGCTCTTCGAGTCCCAACAAACCAGCGTGATGAGATGACTGCAGAGAAAGTGAAAGTCAAACTTGATGCAGAACTTCTCACTACCTTCAATAAAACAAGTCACATGTCCTTTCAGACTGAATACCAGGTTGATCCCAAATCCTTGGTTTTGCTAGGTAAGTACTGACCACATCCGTGCACTTTGTATTTTCAAACTAGAGGTGTGGTGCAACATCCAAAGATTAAAACTCTATAAAGGCGTTATAGCAATATTATACTGGTTACAATATTATACTGGTTATACGTCTTATGGTCTTGCATAAGAACATATCCATTACTCTTTTATGGAAATATTTCTCCATTTGCCTGCAGCATGACAGGCCAGCCTAAAGGCTCCGCTCCAAGCCACAATCAGATCAGCTGCCAAAATAGTACAGGTTGGCTAACTTTTGTCCAGAATGCTGCTATGTTCCACTGGTAGTGACTGGAAAACTCATATTAGGGGAAACTCAAATTAGGGAAGAAAGAGAAATGGATGAGATGCCATTATATAGCACAGAGTTTGTGAATTACATCTACGAGTGAAGAAAAAGTAAGTGTATGAAAGTACATGAAGAGGATTGTCTAGACCAGTGTTTCTCAACCTGGGGGTTGGGAGCCGGAGGGTGGGGTCACAAGGGAGGTGTCAGAGGGGTCTCCAAAGACCATCAGAAAACATAGTATTTTCTGTTGGTCATAAGGGTACTATGTAGGAAGTTTGGCCCAGTTCCATTGTTGGTGGGGTTCAGAATGCTCTTTGTAGGTGAACTATAAATCCCAGTAACTACAACTCCCAAATGTCAAAGTCTATTTCCCCCAAACTCCACCAGTGTTCACATTTGGGCATATTGAGGTTTCTAGCCAAGTTTGGTCCAGATCTATCATTGTTTGAGTCTACAGTGCTCTCTGGATGTAGGTGAACTACAACTCCCAAACTCAAGGTCAATGCCCACCAAACCCAGTATTTTCTGTTGTTCATGGGAATCTATGTGCCAAGTAGGGTTCAGTTCCATCGTTGGTGGCATTCAGAATGCTCTTTGACTGTAGGTGAACTATAAATCCAAGCAACTACAATTCCCAAATGACAAAATCAACCCCTTCCCCAACCCCACCAGTGTTCAAATTTGAGCGTATTGGGTATTTGTGCCAAATTCGGTCCAGTGAATAAAAATACATCCTGCATATTTGATATTTGCATGATGATTCAGAACAGTAGCAAAATTACAGTTATGAAGTCTCAACAGAAATTGTTTTATGGTTGGGGGTCACCTCAACATGAGGAACTGTATTAAGGGATCTTGGCTTTAGGAAGGTTGAGAAACATTGGTCTAGATCTAATACTGTTCTGTGATCAGTTTTCTCTCAGATCTGCTTAACCATCTATTAGAAAATGTTAATAGTGCTCTGCCCTAGCATGGGTCTTTGTGTGTGGCATGTGTGTTAGAACTATAAAGTATGCCTAGAGAGCAAAGAACTTTGAAATACTATTTGAATATGAGATGAATGATACTTAATGCATCAGGCTGGAAACTAAAACAGAACAAAACTCCAAACTGAATAGCTACAAAATTCTGGGATTTGTAGATTAGGGAGGAGCCTTTAAACCACTCATCCAAAGAAGTCCTGGGCCAACTACAAACCCCAGAATTCTGAAGGAGGCAATTACAGCTTTTAAAGTGGATTAAAATGGAAAAATGCTCAAGTGTAATGAGATCTCAAGCTTCTTTCAGCATTATCTGTTTTGAACAATCTGATTTCCTCTTCCTACAGATATAATGGTTAAAATCTTGAGTCTGGTTTCCAGAGAACCTTCTTTCTATAGTATATTTGTGCCTCCCGGTTAAACTTGATGATGCTTGGTAGCAGGCCCGTAGCCAGGATTTCGATTCGGGGGGGGGGGGCTGAGTTTTTTTCAGGGGGGGGTTGAGTTTGGTTCCGGGGGGGGCTGAGTCTGAGTGAAAGAGGGTCTACCCTAGCAAACCTTTTGTATCATTACCCCAATACCCCCATGCATATGGGATATATTGAGTATGGTGATCAGATCATGATATGAATAAACATAACAGTTTAAATAATGCACCAGTAAGGCCTTTTCGCGAACCACCATGAGAATTTCAGGGGGGGGGGCTGAAGCCCCTCAAGCCCCCCCCCCCCCCCCCCCCCCCCCCCCCCCCCGGCTACATGCCTGCTTGGTAGCTCTCTCGTCAGTGGAGCAGTGACTCCATTGTATTTTACCCCAAACTTTGAAGCAGAGATGCAAAGTATTGAACCCATTTTCAAGATAAGTTACAGCAACCTTAGATAATTTCTTTAAAATTTGGTCTGAAATCATGCACTGTTGTATTAACATAGAAGTTAGGAGTTGCCCCAACCTCAATTGGTGAAGGATTTATTCCCTCTTCCCTAAGAACCCTGGATACAGTAGTTCTGAAATCTCCAAACAAGGTTTCTAAGCATCCTTTCCAAAGTAGACTAATATAAACTTAAAATGGAATCATCTACAGAGCCACTCATTGGCTCACCTGTGGAAGCCTCCACCCAGCTATCCTCCAGTCAAGCATGGCATCCAAAACTTCCTAGCTCCCTTCTGCTACAGTTTTCAAGCAATTAAGAAATACCAGGAGCCCCCCATAAGCAGAAAGAGAAAGAGTTCTTCTCATTTTTACCTTCTCTGAGCCTTGCACAAATGAGAGATGTCCTAGCCCCCGAACTCTCTGTTCATTCAAGATGAACCAAGGGAATGGAAGAGATTTTAGCTGCCACAAATCTTGGATGTCTAGTAAACAAAACCAACTTTCAATTATTCCTGCTATTAATATTTCTCATTGCTCACTCCTAATATTTTGCCCACTGTCTCCTGTTCTTTTCAGAAGCAATGTTTCAACACAATGTGCCTCCCCATACAACTAGAGTCATTACCTCTTCATATATCAGATATTTCTTCTTTTCTTCATTTGTCAGTAAATGAACTTTGGTTTGAAATCCTTCTCCCTCCTCATTTAACATCTGGTTATTGGCAGAAGTGCTAAAACAGACCAAAATTATATGCTGGTCCAAATCTCTCTTTACTAACTTGCCATTAAACATTATTTCTCTACCTTTTCCATTTCTGAAACATTCTGTATGACAATATTCAGCTCTTAGTAATTTGTGTATTATAACAATGCCAATCAAACTCAGTCAAGAGTGGAAGGGCATATTTACATATCTAAGTGACAAGAGTTATGTTCTGACATGACTGGTCACTTCTGAAGCCCCAGAGTGATTCCAATGGGTTGTGCTTGCTGATGTATCTGATCAATCTTTAAAGTCTGTCTTTGATACAGCCTATATTAGTAATCAAACTAAAAATGAAAATTAAGTCTCAGGATGTCTTTGGACAAAATAATGAAAATAGGTAGTGATACATGATATTTGTGTGTTTAATATCTGTGGAAATAGTCACAAATATTTGCATGCACATTTCATCCAGAAATATACATTTTGTAAATACCCTAAATGCACAAGATCCTATCTTGAAAGCTAAGCAGGGTCAACCCTCATTAGTTCTTGGATAGGAGACTGCCAATAAATATCAGGCAGTATGGACTATATTTCAGAAGAAAGAACTCGCAAAAACACCATAGAGGATTCCTTGTCTAAGAAATCCCTATGAAATTTATGAAGTTGCCATAAGTCAACAGGCAACCTGAAGGCACACACATACACACACACACACAAGTCCAACTTACACATGCATATCAGATTTGGGGTGTCATTGTAGAAGCCAGAATTCTCCTCTGAGCATGAATTTATTAAATTAGCCCCTCTCATCTTTTAAGATGCCACACATCCATTTACTGGCCAAGTAACACTCAGCTATGTTCCTATGTCAAGATGTACATTTTCCTCTAAGACATTCAAAAGACCTCTAAGAAGTCTCAGTAGATGTTTGCCACCATATGAACATGCAGCAACAAACATCCTCTGGAACTTCCCAGTGGTACGTCATTGCTACACATCTACACAAAAGAACATAGCCAGATGCTTCTCTGCTTCCTGCTATGGCTTCACAGTTTGTTTGATTGTTGTTGTTTTTTGGCCGGGGGGGGGGGGGGGGGGGGGGTGGGCTGCAACAGCTTTACAAAGAAATAGGTTCCTTGGATAGTACCCAAAGCTAGCTCTGACCCATAGCTTAGCACCACACTGTTAGTGTTCCAAGGCTGAACTTTTTATATTCCGAAGCTTTGTTTTCTATTGACATGATCCTCTCCATTGGACAGGAAGACTTTGCTTCATATTTAATTTCTTCACTCCCTCAATGGCTGTACTAAGGCCACTAATTTAATTGGTATTTTGCACACTGATAATGCTATATTATTATTAGTAGGTAATAGTAGCAATAAAAATAGGAGGTATAGGGATAGGAGTAGCAACAGCAATAGAAGATAATAGCAATGACAGAGAAGACAAGATGATAATAGTAATAATAGTAATAATGCTTTTCAACTGAAGTGGAGAAGAGAAATGCTTTCCTCACTTAGCAGACACAGAGACTTGTGCAATTATTTCATGGCCTTTTGTACCTCAAGTGGAAGCCTCTCCACAAAAATTATCCTTAATATTATGACATTTGATAGCAATTTCTTTTAATACCTTAAGAACTTCTTCGCTGGAGAGATTTGACTTGCATTATTTTCCCTTGTTGTGTTTGAATGTTTTTTAAAGGTTGTCTAGCTTCTGAACTAAATTTCAACCCTGTTGAAATTTAGTTCAGGGACTGTTTGTGAAGAATGTCTTTTCAACATTCATGTTACAAACCATGTGGGAGTTTTTGCAGTATAAAAAAAAATCCTGAGATTGAGGCTAAATGCCATCTCAGATCAGTTGCTGCTGCCAAAGCTCCAAGCCCTTGCTTCCTGAGTTCTCTGTTGTTGTTGTTCATTCGTTCAGTCGTCTCCGACTCTTCGTGACCTCATGGACCAGCCTACGCCAGAGCTCCCTGTCGGCCGTTACCACCCCCAGCTCCCTCAAGGTCAGTCCAGTCACTTCAAGGATGCCATCCATCCATCTTGCCCTTGGTCGGCCCCTCTTCCTTTTGCCTTCACTTTCCCCAGCATAATTGTCTTCTCTAGGCTTTCCTGTCTCCTCATGATGT